CTGACATTCTTTCGAGCGGCAGGACTAGGTGGCCTGCAACGGGAGAGCATCAACTTGAGCTCATGTCCACCACCACCCCCGCCTCTCTCCCAGACATTTAGAAGCTATAATTAATGATGATGTCAAGTGCAGAGGCAATCATCAGTCAGCAGAGGCAGCTTTCGGTCGCAAGGCTAACGGGAGACGTGAGCTCTGCTGCACGACCACTGCGCCCTTGCAACAGCTGGTGGCATTACAGGGCCCCTAACGCGTCCCGCAGTCTGCGGCCTGAGGAATATCAAACACTCGTTTGTGCGCCGTGCGGGTATTGTCCGTAGCAGGGTGCGTGTGGATATGGGAAGACGTTCTGTAACCGTCCTCTGGGTAACACACGGGGGGTGATGCAGTGCTCTGCGAAAGTTGCAAACAGACCTCATGTTTGGAATAAAAATGGAAAACGAAAAGAAACACCTTAAAAGATCACGAAGCTAAATTGTCACAAGGAGAGACGGAGAATACTGCTCTTGTGAACAGTGCCGGATTAAGCTAGCGCGGAACCTGTAGCATATGTTATACAGGGGATCCAAATTAATATATATATAAATATTAAAACACAAATTTTTTAATGGCATAGTAAAGTCATTGTATGTTTTCATTTGCTATACAGCCAGATAATACGAAAATCACTAACCTTAAACACCCAGCCGTTCGTAAAAGTTGAAGGCAGTATAGTACTATAGTAATAGAGCAAGTACAGAATCACAAAACCGGAATTGATAGCTTGAAAGTGCGGGACCCCAACCATATGTGGCTACTTTCGCTACGAGGATAATCCGGCACTGCTTGTGAACGCTGTGCAGCCTCCCTGCGTGACGTTCACCGCGACACCGCGCGGCCACGCTGGGACCGCGGGATGGACGTGGAGGTCGTGGTTGGAGCGGAGGGGCGGTGCCGTCAGTGCGCACAGCGACGGTGAAACCTCGTGTGGACAGACACGGCTCCCCACCTCCCTTCCCCGTTCCATAGCCACACGGCCGACTGGCTTACATCGCTTTTCTCTGGCACTGTCCGGCACGGCAAGGCTGTGTGCCGATTTGTGCCACCATCATCAACTCTGTGCAACACCATACGGACACACCGAGACCCGCTGAATCGAGACAGTAACTGTGCAAGTGTCCATTGAGCATTCTGAAAACAACAATATTGAGCTCTTTGTCATTTGTGTCTCGGTCTAATCAACGTGCTTTGGGATGGGTAAATGCTAAATAACTGACAGCTGTATTTTAAGGGTCACCTAGGTCACTCTTCCTTGGGCATATAGTTTCTCAATTTATGACCTCATTCCTTCAACGTCACGTGGCCTTCTCAATGTTCTTCTTACTCCATGGTACTTACATCACATCTCGTAGCTCGGAATGATTTATTTACGATTCGTCAACATTACATGCAAATGATGCGCCAACGTGTCTCTATTATTCGCCAGTTGCGATGTCTTATCACACTGGCCTTGCAGTTCAGAGGTCGCCGGCTCGATCTCCGAGCGCGGCAGTTGAAGCAGTGGTTCGAGTTTCTTAAACCCAACCACCTCTGATGTACCCCCCCCCCCCCCAGCGGTGTAAATGGGTTCGCCCACAGTCCGTGGGCAGGTGGCACACTCTTAACCCCAACCACCTATACCCCCCCCCCGCCCCAGGGGTGTAGATGGGTTCGACCGCAGTCCTGTGGGCAGGCGGCGGTGTACTTGTTGTGTTAAGAGAGTGTGGGGGGCTCCTGCCTTCTTCCAAGGCACCCCTTGCAAGCTGCAAGAGAATGCCAAATCGACAAATGCCCTCTGGAGGGCGCTCTATCGCTCTATCGCTCTAGCGCTCCCTCTGGCGAGGGGCCCTGCTACCAGCAGTGGCACCTCCGATTAGCACGGTTCGCGACGTACGGTGCGTAATAAGTTCAACAGTGTACATACATATATACATTGAGCTTAATGGGGCAGATAAGATAGCACATGCGAGCCCGTTAAATCAACAGTACTGCGTGACGATTAAGAATACATTTCTGAATCAAGGCGTGACTGAATATCATGAACATTCATGGAATGCTCTTGGGGCTGACTCGTTACACCTTTGACCTTTGGCAGCAGATGGCTAAGTCGGATCATTTCCCCAATGGGAGTGACGGCTGGGTTGCATGCGGGATCAAAACTGTCACCGCCACCGTGAAAAACGACCCAGCCGAGAATGCGCTGACGGACTTGGCCATCCCACGGCCCGGTTATTCGTGTCCCGGTGTCTGTCACACGCACTGTTGCGCGGCACCGTGCCCTGCGAATTCCACCGCTGGATGAGGGCATCTCTACGCCACGTTTCCCGCACGGTACTTTCCCTTACCCCACTTCACCACGTTGCTCAGGGCGCATAGAAGTACAGTGGAACAAATGATGTTGCAGCATTGCTCTCCGTTGCTCACTCCGTAGCCTATAGCGTATTCTGGGTGATCGGGTAATGGTTTACTATCGAGGACCACCTCTTATTTTATTTACACTGAGCTCTGCTGACCCTTTCCCTGCTTTGCTTTGTTGACCAAGTGTCGGGTAGCGTGGCCAGCTGATCCCGCTAGCATTCGCTCGATTTGGAAAACCTTCCCCTAAACCCGGTCCTACGTGCTACCTTTGAAGCAAAACTGATCAGCGGACAGCAGTTATCCCCCACTCACAGCACATCAATGCAAGTCATCTGCAATGAACGCGGGTATGGTGATTCAGCAGATGGGACACGTGATAGGCATAAGGATTCGATTTTTCGACATCTCAACCATTCCATTGCCCAATGTCAGTCTGGCCAAGGGGACTCCATGTGTCTCGACGTGGCACGCCGTGTAGAATGCGCATGGATGTAGTCTGCCAGTAGGGGGGTGTTGTAACCACAGTGCGGTCTAGTATTTGGGTTTTCCCGATTGATTAATTTCCAAGTACGTGTGATTTTTTTCTAATTTGTCAAAATTTTACGGTGACAATTATCCACAAGATTGACAATCGGCAGACCATCATCTGTATCTACCTGTTGCAATCCTAGACGGACTGAAGAGACACCTCAAGGTACAGAGTGGAGACTACCACTGTGGAGGTGAAGATCAGGACCGGGTTTATGTGTGGGAGAGAATATCTTGGCTCAGTTGAGAAATTGGAGCCACCACAGCGATGCCACCTCGTGTGGCAGCGCCGAGTCGAGTGTCTGCTCTAGGATCATGGCCTGTGTGTGTCCTGGTGTGTGTGTGAAAGCATTGAGCGTGGGTGCATGTTGAGTAAAAGCGTTGTGTCTCGGTGTGTGTACAAGCATTGGGTGTATGTGCATGTTTTGATAAAGATGCACGTTTCTGGTGGGTTGGAGTGTAATTGTTATACGTCTGGCCTCATGTTATGAGGTGAGGAATCCATTTGTAAATACTGTATCATAAGAGCAGTGCACCCCGTGTCGCCCAGGAAGGCGGTGGCCTCAAAGTAAGGGGCACATTTTTACACAAGATCTGTTGTGGGATTATTCAATAATCTCACAACAGAGCTTACACAATAATTATTATTGTGTGAGTCAAACAAATATCTTTTTTTAACGTCTCAAAGCTGGAATCTAGCGAAATCGATCTGCCAACCCCTATTTAATGTTATGGTTGTTTCTGTGCACAGTCATTGGGTGACTGTGATGAGATAAATTAATCAACTCACTAAATCGAGAACCCAGTTTAACCACGGGCAGATGCCCAAATTCGAACAGAGAACAGTCCATGGGCGAAGTGCCATAATGTGATGTGATTCACCCTCGCTCAACATTACCCCAAAGGCGAACACTAGAGTTGATACAATGTTTTAGCGTGTGCTTAACAGCTACATAGAGTCATATATTTAGCTACTATTTCTTATTCCATTTATTAGCAATTACAGTTGTGATGGTTTCATGGAAATTTCATAACCCTCTCGACCATTCGTGAACCTCACCAGGTATCTCACCAATTCCAGAGTTAAGATCTGTACAATTTTAGAGACAGGGTGCGCAATGGCATGCTTACAGAAAATAAAATATTAATTTTTTTCTATATTTAATAAATGTAACTTTACACTGCGTAGCCATGTGACCAGTGGGCGCATGGTCGGGTGTGTGAGCGAGCGTGATTGAGTATGTGTGCGTGGCTCTGAGTGTGTGGCTCTAAGTGTGTGGCTCTTGAGTGTGTGTGTGGTTCTTGAGTGTGTGTGTGTGCATGGGGGAACAGGTAGGGTAGCGGTTAGCGCGTTGTGCTACGAACCCTGCGACCCGACTTCGATTCCCGCTCACGGCCAACACTAGTGACGATTATTTTAACTGGTCCTGGGCCTCCCCTAGGTCGACTCAGCCAAAAATGAGTACCTGGTGCATCGCCACTAGGGGACAAAGGCGGCCGGGCGTGGTGCTGGCCACCCACCCCTAGTGTGCAGTGTCAGACTTCATAGGTTGCTCGCGAACAGCACTTGCCCCAACAGTCTGTTAAGGCTATACGGGGGATCTTTGTCTTTGTGACTCTGAGCAGGTGAGCCCGATCTATGCTCATATTTGCATGTTTAATAGGGGATTCTCGCGTACGAAGAAATGTGAACGTTTCTAACAACACAGAGGCTTGCTTAATGGATTGGCTTTGCAGATTGTTAAATATAATTGTGCAGGCTGTACTGCAGTTGATATTGAAACCCAATATAAAATGACGTATGTTTCCTACACAATAACTGTTGATAATTTTGAAACATTTCAATACGACTTGTAAAGTAACATTACTTTATTGTTTTAACATATATAATTTACAATGATTGACACTCGACCATTTTGTGATGTTCATGTGCTGCGTCACCCATAGTTGTGCTTCTCGCCATTCATTCTCCACGTGGGAATGTCCCCCTCCACCCTCCCAGATGCCCTGTGCCACACGGTTCAACATTCGCGCAAGCAGCTAATTTCACCTGAACACATCCATTCACACTCTCGACAACCACACCCACACGGGACATGCAGAGCTGCCCTGAATACTTTATTTACGATGTTGACTTGACAAGCGCTTGCTTCGTGGTCGTGAACACATATGTGTTCTCTTCTAGATGCTACCGAGTGCCCACGAAGCATTTTGGCACAAATCAAAAGTTACCCTTTTCTGAGCTGGCACAATGTAACGGCAGTGAAGTTGGTGTGGTTGTATACGACATCCGGAAACCGGTGGCATCAGCAACTGGGGTTGTTGCATGGGTTCACACAGACAAGAGATGGGACTCATCAGACGGGGATCACAGGGGAAGGGGGTTCTGGGGAAGAGTCGGTCCACGGTCCACCTGATCAAGACGCAGCGATGCCCTCCATCATCTTCAGGAACTCTGCAAGCACAAGGCCACGAATGTCGTCAGTCCACGCGTCCATCCGCTGCCGAACGAAGGCATCCCCGTACAGCGGCGTTTGACCATACTTCACCGCGCTGGTCGGCGCAGGTTGGTGAAGAGTGTCCTTGGACTGGTTTAGATATATCTCGCCACTCGTGTCGGCCATGGCCGGGAATCAAACGCAGGTGTCTGGGTTCACAGTACAGGGCACTCCACCCCAGTTTCGCCTCTAGTTGTTTGAATTGCTAATTGTGTTTAATTGCCAAACGTATGCGTGTAGTGTGGGTCAATTGTCATTCGCGCGTGTGTAAAGGATCATGCAACCCAATCTATGCATATAGCAGTCTCCATATCTTGTAGACGCCTGCTTGGGCTGCGTCCTAGGGTGCCCGATAAAAGCTTAAAAATGGGGCGAGAACCAGGCGTCTACTCGCGTCCTCCCGCATTCGCAGGACACCGCACGAGAGGGAACGCGAGTGACACCCCGGCGACGTGGACTGGGGCGGCTCATCGTCAAGGTCCTCGTTCACGGAGCGTCAACGTCTTATGATCCCGGCAGGCCGAGACGCAGGCCGGCAACACGCCCACGCGATAAGAGACTGGAGGGTTGCGATCGGTGGCACGTGGGGTTTTCGCAGCCAATTTGATTCGCAATGAGCTGGCCATATTCGTGTCGTTAGCCTTATGCAGACCAACATTGAGAAAAAAACAATGTGGTCATCCCAACATCCTATGATAATAATTATTATTTTCAACAAATCCCACAACATCAACAACCTCCCACACTTCATCAAATAACGCTCCCGCGAAGTGGGGGAGCGGTGCAGAGGATCTCGCTCTGCACTCACCGTCAAAGTCCAGACGCCCGTCGCAGTTCTTGTCCCCATCCTTCATCAGCTCATCCATCTCAAGGTCCGTGACGTTCTCGCCCGTGTTCAGCAGGATGTCCTTCAGCTCATCCCGATCGATGTAGCCATCGCCGTTCCTGGAAACACGTGCGGTTGTGTGAGAGGTGTGCGCGTCCTAATCCGGGATTCGTCCGACGAGCGGGGAGCTTGCGCTGCCACTCCGTGCGCGCGAGGGGTTGGTTGTGGCACAAATTCGCATCGCGCCAGAAATTTATCTGTGCGATGTTTTCAAAGTTAAATGTTTGCCAACGAACGTATCCCCAGTACGGAACGTCCCCCCCCCCCCTGCTGCCCCTGAACTCTGCAGTCGAGCTCTACGCGGACTCGTTGCACGTGGAGCCGCGAGGTTGACACGTGACGCGTCAGGTGGTGACGGCTTCTACGAGAACGACAGGAGGAATACCGTCGACGACGCGGGCTCTCGACCCTCTGCACTCGCCGTAAACAGTACAGCGCTCTGGAGGCAGCAGTGAGGGGGTTCCTTCCCGTGTGCATCGTGGTGCCGTGCCCTGGCTCGCCGGCGGAATGCAGTACAGCAAGTGTGGACTGATATGGTCCGTCCCATCTGTATGGGATAGAGTGTTGCCCCCTCGCATGCGTGGGGTTTTCTCCGGGTCCTCCGGTTGCCTCCTACTGGTATACACACTCACCGATTGGCTGAAAACAACTTAATATGTAGAGAACTACAGAGCAATTGGTGGTGCCGGCTCACCGCCGGGCAGCAGCCTTCCAGTCTGGTCTGTGGTTTCTACTCAGCGAATTTGAGATGCAATTTGGATGAACGAGGAAATTCTCTAAAATTAATCGTTCGATTTGGATTGCTCCCTTGACCGGTCCACTGGGCATGGCTTTAACATGCAAGAATCCCTTTTATGCAGCCCAAACCTACAGGCTTTGCGGTTGCTAAAATACATTTATAAAGACAAGATTTGTCTGTGTAAATGCTCGTTTTATCCCAACTCGTGATAATGGGCCTTGCACCTTGTGGTTTGAAAGGCGCTCTATAAATAAGGTGTATTCTTTTATTATCATCACGAGTATTGTTGTCGAGAAATTTCCCAAGGGGAAGTGGGAATGATATTATTGGACGTTGAATTGTGTTTGTGCAGTGTTTTTAATTTCCCCTGTGACGACGCAGTTGGTTTTTTTCGTGCTCATTTCTCTTTGCTTCATTGCTGTACTTTTACTTTATTGATCATTTTGCTTTTGTCATTTTGGTGACCCCCAGGGAGGTCACTCTCGCGAATCGCAATCAGAATATTTATCTATGCTGGAGGAATCCGATGAACTATAAAGCTCTTTTTCACAGCTGTCCACTTTGTTTCACAGATGTCCAGTCGAGAGTTCGCAGCCCTTTTGGTCAGTGCCAGATTATCCCAGCAGCACAAGTAGCTACATGAGTAGTAGCTACATGTGTAGTAGCTGCACGTGTAGTAGCTACATGTGTAGTAGCTGCACGTGTAGTAGCTACATGTGTAGTAGCTGCATGTGTAGTAGCTACATGTGTAGTAGCTACATATGTAGCTACTACACGTGTAGTAGCTACAGGCCCCGCACTTTCAAGGGCCCCGCACTAAATGCTTTCAAGCTATCAATTCCGGTTCAGTGATTATGTACTTGCTCTATTTCTATAGTACTATACCGCCTTCAACTTTTACGAACGACTGGGTTTTTAAGGTTAGCGATTTGTCGTATTATCTGGCTGTATAGCAAAGGCAAAAATACGATTACTTTGCTATGCAAGTGAAAATTTTGTGTTTTAATATTTGTGTTTTATTTTATTTAATGTATGGCCTTTTTTTATCACATACGCTACAGGCCCCGCACTAGCTTAATCCGGCACTGCTTTTGGTCAAACAACCATCGACGACTTGAGACTTTTTCGAGACACGTGCGCGCGACAATCGATGGCCAAGGTATGCCACGCGCTCCCCACTCACGTGTCGAGGATGCGGAACGCCTCTGCCAACTCCTCCTCCGTCTGGCCGGCCGACTCCTCTTTCATCTGCCGCACCATCATCACCAGGAACTCCTCGAAGTCGATCGTGCCGCTGCCTGCCACGGCGCGCGCGTGGGGAGACCGGGAGGCCAGCGGTCAATGTCGTTTTGCGTTCACTCTCCAGCACACAACCGGTGTGCTGAACGCGTGACGAATTGCCTTGTTTTTTTTACGTGTGCAAACATTACTAATTGGCTGCGTCGGGTGGCGGCGGGTTTTATGACACATTTATATTTACGCGCTCCAAGCCCCCCTGCCACCCAAATTCAAATTATGTTATGGAAAGGCCTTTGGTTAACGAGGGGGGCATTCGGTGGGGTGGCTTCTTCACTCGCCACGGGAGTTTGACGTTTTGCAGGGGGAGGTGAATTGGCCCGTTCGAATAGCGGAGATACGACGAGGACATCAACTTGACCTCGACGAATCGTTAAATATTAACTCGATATTGGCATACAAATCAGTTGAAGTGCGTTACACGCCAGTTTACTCTTACACAAGTGCAGTCCCACACTATTTATTTTGTCTCTGTGAGTGTGTGTGGTGGGGGGCAGTAGTGTAGCGGTCAGCACGCTGCGCTATGAACCCGAGTTCGATTCCCGCTCACGGCCAACACCCAGTGACGATTATCTGAACCGGTCCTGGGCCTCCCCTAGGTCGGCTCAGCCTCAAATGAGTACCTGGTGCGGTGTGTAAACATCGCCGCTGGGGAGACAAAGGCGGTCGGGCGTGGTGCTGGCCACCCACCCCCTCGTGTACCGTTCAGTCCTTCATAAGTGCTCGCTAACAGCACTTGCCCCTACAATCTGTTAAGGCTATACGGGGGATCTTTGTTTCGTGTGACATGCACCGTGTATTCGGTGTTGGGAGCGGTGAGCGCCCTTGGATGAGAGGGTTGGAGGTTCGCCACGGTGGCCAGATGTTAACTACCTCGCCTGGTATGCAGGAGTAAGGAGGTTGTGGGTTCGATGCCAACCCTGACGCCTGCTGTATTTGGAGTTTGCATGTCTCTCTCTCTCTCTTCCCATGGTCACTTGGATTTTTTTCTCCGGGGCCTCCGGTTTTCCCCTCCGCATTTCGAATCAACATCACGCGTTTAGTGTATTTGGCTGCTAGAAATTTCCACACGATGAGCCACTTCCTTGAGCTATCATTTGCGATAGCCAGGTCGCTTCTGAAGCAACTCGCTGCTCCCGTGCAATGCGTCTGCTCATGGTCATCCCATCCACCTGGTGTCAAATGCCAATGCTCGTCTCGTACACTAAAGCCCAGGCAGCGTGACTACAAATATACCTCTCGTCCAGTGGCGGAGGCAGCAGCAGCAAGGGAATGAGTCTGTAGGCCAGGGGTGGGGAAACTTTTTTCTGCCAAGGGCCTTTTGGATATTTGTAACATCATTCACGGGCCATACAAAATTATCAACTTAAAAATGAGCCCGTTATATTTGTTCAAACATTTAATTAACTCAACCCCTAATGCGATGGCTGGAACTGCTTCTCTTTGGCGAGGCGTGTGATGTTAGCAGGTATTGATGATGTTGCTACACGCAACTGCTTTTCCAGGTTTGCTCCTAGATTTATTGAATTTCGAGTCCTGCCTGCGGTTGCCTTGGCAGGGCCACACCAAATAATTTCGAGGGCCTTATACGGCCCGCGGGCCGGACGTTCCCGACCCCTGCTGTAGGTCATGGGGGGCTTGGGAGTGGTAGACTGGCACCGCGGTCTGCACGTCTGCAGCCGCGCCACGCTGAAGACGTCGTGAGCGTGAGAAGACGTCGTTTGGCGTACCATCCTCGTCCACCTCCTCAATGATGGCGTCCAGCTCCTCCTTGGTGGGGTTCTGTCCCAGCAACTTCATCACCTTGCCCAGCTCGCTGGTGCTGATGTCACCGCCACCGTCCGCGTCGAACATGTCGAAGGCAGCCTTGAACTCTGCTCGCGGAGAGGGGAGACGCGTGGGTTCATGGCGCCTGCTGACTGCCCCCTCCTCCCCTCTCCCCAGCCTCCACCCCCCCCCCCTCTAATGCGACATCGGCAGTAGCGTAACGAGCGAGGGGGGGCAGGGGGTGCCTTGCTTCCACCTCCCGCCTGGTGGCTAAAGCCACGTAGTTTGGGGCCCTCTTAACAACCACCACGAGATATCTCTTCAACAACAGTGTAAAAGAACAACAACGCTTATTTAAATCACGGTTTCAATTGCTTTTTTTTATACAAATTATTTCATTTACGTTTCCACTTGAATTTTTATTTTATTGGAGAAGTACTGGGGCCACCCCACCTGACCGATTGCCGCACCCACGTGAGCTGATAACGTCGTTACTACGACACTGCCAAGAGGGTGCCGATTGCAACTCAAGCGATGAATATGGGGTTCACTCGCGCGCGTGCGGCTCTACACTCAGTCGCATTTTTCACTGCAAGGTCTCTCTCTCTCGATGTCACCGACACAATGTGTACTACACAGGCCAAGCTTTCTGGGTTACTGAACTCGACATGTACGGGACGCGGTGCAATGACAATGTTGTATTCCAATTGCGTCTAGATGCGGCCACATTTTGAGATGATTAGGCGCTTGCAAGTTCAACTATTGAGCCTCAGTACTCTGTCATACTATACTGCTATTAGAAGAAACAACGTTTTGATGGCTGGAGGGATGGACGAACAGATGGAGGTAACGTCCAAAGAACGTGGGGGTGGCTAGTTTTTAATAACATGTATACTCGTACTCTTTGGTTCTTTCGGTAAAGTCATGTAGTTAGAAATAAAATAAAATAAAACAAATCACGACGTTTCGATCGCAACACAAGCGGTCGTCATTAGGATCATCAGGATGACGACCACTTGTGTTGCGATCGAAACGTCGTGATTTATTTTATTTCTAACTACGTGACTTTACCGAACGAACCAAAGAGTATGGATTCCTGCAGTCACGAAAGCTTCAAATCAAGATGCTTACTCGTATTTTACGTGGAAATCAACAGTGGCTTTCCTGAGGTGGCCGGGTGGCTCAGAGGTCAGAGCACAGAGCTAGTACTTATGAGAACATGGGTAAGATTCCAGGCTTCAGCGATCCTGTGGTTAAACCGAGATCTCGAGTGTAGCGAGTCGATGGTTTCATCTCGGTCACCAATGACTGCACACACACATTTTTTTTTAAATCCCTAACGCTAACTTGATTTCGATTTAAAGCTTTCGTGACTGCAGGGATTCATCTTCTTGGTTCTTTCGGTAAAGTCACGTAGAACCCCCCCGCCCATCTCCTACGCATTTTCCATATGCTAAATTCCTTTTGATATGCAAATTATTTTGTCTAGGCGCTCTTCTTCCCACCTCCCCCCCTCCAACCCAGCTTAAATATACGCTCCAAGCTTGGTGGTGTTTCATTCTTCACCTGAGGACGGCTGCTTGCGTTGTAGCCGAAACGTCGTGAGAATTATTTTATTATGTTTTATTTTTATTATTTTATTACTTCCCTTCTACGTGACTTTACCGAAAGAACCAAGAAGAAGAAAACGCTAACTTGATTCTGCACTTAATTTTGCTGAATTCCCCTCCTGTGTGGACCAAAGTGCCGCAGGTAGCTCGCTGATATCTACTTCCGCGGGTCGTCCCATAATTCAAAAGGTTGCCCTCCGTGAGATTTCCAAAATGGGCACTTCGTCTCATGGCAAATGCGAATCACACCACCGGTATCGAACTGGAGGGACACGTAATGTATAACGGTGGTTTTCCTATGGATAGACTGGTCCTCGCCACTGGTAATGTAGAATTGTCATCCCTGGCTTCAGGCTGCCAGTAGAGATGGGCATCAACGCCGCAGCATATTTTCAGAGTTACACTTTTGACTTAACTTTTATTGAGTTGTGAGTTGCGTTTAGATAGGACTATGTATTCTCTATAAACAACTCATTGCTAAATTATACCACTGTTCTGTATGCAGTACTCACTTAACAGACAACACTTCCTCCCAAAACTGAACCCAAAGCTCAATTATTGTCATGTATATCAGACAACGGCGATGTCAACCATTGCCAGTCTACCAGTATCTTCTGCTTTCCCCCCGTTATCAGCGACCTCACACCCGCGTCTTGCCACGTGCGAGCGCTCCGGCCTTACCAGCGATCTGTTCTTCGTTGAGGTAGGCACGAGCATCGTGCTGTGCCTCTGTCTGCAGGACGCACGCACGCACACACACACACATCGCGATCTTCATTCTGCTTGTGAATCAATTACTTTGGCTCTGGCAGCAAGCTGGGGTCATCGATACAATAAATAACTCAATCATGCTGGTTGTAGCACGTGCATTGCCTGCCATTGCGGCATTGTCGCTTCATTTGATGCTACGAACTTGGACCAAAAACACACACTTCACAAACTTGGTCGTCAAAGCAGAAATGAATGCAAATGGACTGATCGGGATGGATGATAGCGCTCAGTGTAACCGAACGTTTGAAGCCACAGCTTGCAGAACCGGACGTATTGTGTTTGCACTGCGGTGCTTTATGTAATTAACACTATCACTGGAGAGCGTGTTTCATCATTACGGCATGTAATGTGTTTAAATATTGCCTTCAACGATCAAATTAGTAATCGGTCCAAGTGTTGATGAACGCGGCTCTGTTTGGCGCTTGTAAATTTTCGTTGTCTCAGCTAACAGCAGGAAAAGCTCCTCGTAAAAAAGATGTAATTCCAAAGGTCATGATAATTCATATACAAACCCCCCACCCCATATATTATAAGCGCTGAAAAAGTTGTGTCATTGGCCGGTGAAGGTGATTGGTTATTGCTAACTCAAATGTCAAATTTAGTTTCCTCCCGGTCAGTGAACGCGTGCATCTGAACTGAGAAGGCATGTAACCCATTTCCCCAGCGTATATTCAAATCTAGATGCATGCATGGATTGGTATATATCCGTGTACACTGAGAACACGTGTTCACGTATATAACCCAATGCTGTGCCGATACACGCTCTAACTTATCCCTGCTCAAGTGAGCAATGTATTTGCTAAACCCATTGCTCACTGGTCATTATAATTACCATTGCTCATACTTGAATTAAAACAAAAATCCTCATGAATATTTTAGGATAAAGCAAATGTGTGTTTGTTATTTCTGAAACGTTAAATAATCAACACAAATTGTTGTTTCATAGCAAAAGATCAAATTATGTCGATATCGCGTGCGTTACTGGCAGCACGTGCGTTACAATGATTTAAAGTCGTGACGTTCCAGTGATGATAAAACTCGTCGCAGGCTTAGTTTGAGTGAAATGCAGTTGTGCTGGAAGTACGGCAAAGCATAAGAACAACACTGCACAGTAGAGAAAACAATATGTACCACATATAGAGTTGCAAAACTATGGCAAAACCGAAATCGCGATGATCGTCCTCTCGCGGAAATTGATATCGTATCGTGAAAAATGATATTGCGGCAACCCAAGCAGAGCGGGCACACTCGGGCGCCGTCCCCGCTCCTACTCCGTGATGCCGGGGCGTGGAATGAGCCCATAGAAGGCGCTCCTCCATCTCCCGTCCGCCTGGACTTGCCAGCACGCATAGAGCCACTCACCGAGCTCCCACACTGTGCACGCATTGGCCATGCAGTCGCATGCAAGGCAGTGTACTGCTGAGTGTGTGACAAACCGCGCCCTCGTCTCCCTGCACCAGAGAAAAACAAAAAAGAGAGAAAAGGAACGGGAAATTAACGCCGAGCGAAGCGACTTCATGAACAGCCTGAAGAGCCACGCAGGTGGCACTCGAAGAGCACGCCTCCGATGCGCGCGGTTGGCCTACGTACGGTGCGAATGAAGTTCAACATGTATACAACATATGTACAAGGACTGTTTTCTTGGAATTTCTTGGAATTTCTCTCACTTGATACAGCTATCGTGCTGTGACGGTTCCACCTGAAGACGGAAGCTTGTGTTGCCTCCGAAACGTCGTGATTTTTATTTTATTTTTATTTTAACTTTTATTAATTTTAATTTTTTTACCTACGTGACTTTACCGAAAAAACCTAAGAATATGAATCCTTGCAGTCACGAAAGCTTCAAATCTAGAATGTATACAACACACATAGCATTGGTATATTACACTCACCGTTTTTTGGGATTGCGTATAATCTATGTTCAGCTCTGAAGAGGGATTGACCCGGTTCCCTTTCTGTGTAGAATTTCCATCCGTCACTCACCTGTGACGTTGCTTTTATCTTTGATCGTATGGCACGGAATTAGTCGTGAATAAGGAGATTATTTTGCACGAGAGAAGTGTTATAGGCATCTGCTATAAATAAATAAGAACCTTTCATCTATGATGATGGCTTATCCGCAAACTTGCACCTGACGGGAACGATTTAGCCTGTAGCTCCTATCCAATTTAAAGTAGAAAGCCTTTCCTGTAATCCGTCGTGGTATCTGGTTGACAGCAACACAGCCAATGTACAAAATGCTCAGTAGGTACTTGCAACACACTTTCCTATCATTATCTACCTTGCAAAACAGACATGTCTATTTATCCTACTTGATGCCGTCTTATATAAAATTCGCTATAAATCCCAAATGTCCGCCTGCACGCTGGCATGTCTTGCATTGGAACCAGCCCCGTAAACGGTGCAGTGTGATAACCTCAGGGCCTATTTCATTGCTGAAATCACCCACGCTGACTTTCACCCCGAGCATACGGAGAGAATATCATGGACATCGGGATAAGGGCGGCACGCGCTGCATTTGTGTGTGTTTTTTTTAAACAATCTCGTTCACACCATCTTAAATTTAGCTTCTGATCGTGGGAAAACCGATGCCAACGCCCCCCCTACTGGCAGAGTGGAATGCCCCCACTCGCCGGCCGGACGTCATTCGCCTTGTCCCGCGCAGGAACAGCTGCCACCAGGCGATTTCCCCTCTGGGCTAAAACTACAACTGGGCATTTGTATGAGTGCGAAGATACGTTGGCGCAAGGTGCTTTGGGTTGCCGAGGCATTGAAGTGCCCTATGAATACAAAGCCTCATATTGGGCGGCTGTTGATTAGACGATTAACAAACCAGGCTTACAAGTAACCAGCAAGCAGCGTGTATCACGCAGTGCTCACGAGGCCCTCTGGCTGGGCACGTGCGTGCACCAACCTGGGGGAGTCTACGATCTCTCTAAAGACGTCACCTCCAGCGGTTGCGTTGTGGACAATGACAGATAAAGGGATGGATATATCATGCCAATGCCTTGTATCCGCGTTACACCGTGTCCTTCCACAGCCTTCCTCCTATCCACCATTTCTCAGACATTAAGGAGGGAAAACTGTTCATTGAGAACATGATGGATTGTGGATTTGCTTAATTATGTGGTCAATTGGAGATGTGGAATTAGAGAGTTATGGATAAGGAGCTTACTGCACGAGCGTTTGAGATAACGGACAGTTTTTCGTGAAGCTTTCCTTATTACATTTTTTTTACGGCGTATGTATACGGCAATGGAATGCACAGTACAGTAGAAGGTTCTAGAGGCTGTGAAATATACAAAAGGTGACGCGATTCCCGTGAAGAGACGGAGCGCATCAATCGGCAGCGAGCACTGTCCACGTTTTGTCTGCTCCCCATGCAGAGGTGGCGCGCTCCCCCAGGCGGCCACGGCTCATCATCCACCAGCATCGCTCCACACGATGAGAGAGACAGAGAGCCATCTCAATGTTCTAAGTTCCGGTCGTGTAAGTTTCTAACATCTGTTTAGCACGGTTGGCTACGTACGGTGCGACGTAAGTTCAACATTTATACAACCTCAATTTGGTGAAATGTAAATGTTTAAATATCAAAGAGAATTCAACATGGGACCTCCTTTGCCGGTATCAAAATATACCTCTTGCTAAAGGTTTCTGTTTGGTGTTTTAACATTTTAACACCTGTTTTATTGCCAGGAAGGGTAAAACCAATTATTATGTCAATGATAATTAACAACGAAATTAATACACGAATTATGGATTTGTGGAAAAACGTTAGTTAGTTATACTTTAACCTGAAAAAAATAAATTGCGCTCGGTTGATGCATAAATAATATGCCATGAATAATTGCCACAGTACATATAGCTGGGGGAGCCAGGCAAGGTGACACGCGTATGCCAAAGTTATTCACAGCAACACGGGAAGATGATTGGTCAAAGATTTGAATAGATTAAACATTCGCCATCTCAGATTTGCTGACGAGGTACTGTAGTCATTGTATAGTCATTGCGAAATAACTACATCAAATGTTTAAAAGAACTGAGTAAAGAAGGCTGCAGAGTTGAACTCAAGATGAGTTAAAACAAAACTTATGTCCCGCAAGTTCCTGTCCCGAAACGTCGTGATTTTATTGTTTTATTTTTATTAATTTTTATTTCATTTTTTACCTACGTGACTTTACCGAAAGAACTAAGAGTATGAATCCTGTCCCTCTGTTTGTGTTGCACGTGGGTTTAGGCAGCTCCGCGTCGTGGCCACTGGAAGGGCCGATGACCGCCGGTTGGGCGAGAGAGAGTAAGCACGGAGTGGGAGCCAAAGGAGGCAACGCGCCCCACGATGACGACCACCGTGGAGATGCGGTGAGTGATGAGATCTCCTGAGTGGGATATTCCATCTCACGATCATGACACATGGTGGCGGATTGAGGGGGGGGGGGGTGCCTTCATCCAGCAGTGGAATGATCCGTGGCTGACGAATCAACCGTTGTCGACACGAATATTTACCTGTGGTGCTTTATACTATATCTGAATGTTTTTTTATATATATATGGAAATACGTCTTAGTTTGGCCAATACAACATTCACCACAGTCAACACTTTGAATCCGCGGGGCCTTTTTTTTTAATATACGAACGTGCATATCTGCCTGCGTGTGCACATGTTGTATTTTTAGTGGGCGAATACGGACCGCCTAATAAGGAGGCGCTGAGGGCTGGACGGGGCGATACGGCTGCTGTGACAGCAGATCGGGTGTCGTGTCCGAGACGATGGTGAAGCTTTACCCCCCGCCCCCGCAGCGCCCCCCCCCCCCTAGAGCCCCCCCCCCCCCACGCGTCTCAGCTTAGAGCAGCAGCAGCAGCAGCAGCGTGCTATTCAGAACACGCAGGCGAGTAGAAAACGCCATAAAGCGAAGAAGACTCACGTAAATAGATTCTAGCATGTGCATTTTAATTAGGGCCCCGAAATACCGAACATGCACCGAAGGCAATTGCAATTTGACGTCGTGCAAAGTGACACGTGTTAATTATTGGAGCGTTTTGCAAAGAAGTTAAAAGCAAATACTTGTAAAGTTGGTGGCAAATCATACTCTGATGTTATTAATCGGTATCATTATGGAACTCGTGTAATACAATCGGCCACAAAAATGTCAGCGTGTGGGCTTTTGCCTTAAGACTGAAGGCTATAAATAAGATGTTGATTATCTACTTACGATCTAAATTTGTCCTTTTACACAAATCAGATGTCATGTTATATTTAAGGAATAACTTACAGGGATATTTGCTGGGAAACACTTAATTTTCTCTGTAAATGTCATCATTCAGCGTAATTTTTACGAAATGTATAGTTTGTATATTAAGAGTCATGAATCTGAAACCTGATGCTTTGTTAGAGGTGCATCATTATTTTAAGAGAAATATCAACCGATAGAGTTCTAAACGCAATACATCGTAATATATTTTCAAACGTAATCATAAATGCTTTTTAAAATGTTTAATACAATCATAACATATTCGTACAATTAACAAAATAGTCTTAGCCAATTCCTTCAATCGTACGTGTGCACGCATTAACATTTCTGAACATTTTAAATCGAATTACATCTCATTTCAGTTACGTAACCATGAGTTCGAAACTATGCAATTCGTGTAACCTTAAACAGCAACTCTTAAAACACAAACTTTGCACGTGTTGTAATACGATTACGCGATCGCAGAAACACGGATGGAGCACTCACCATGGTACTTGGTAAGGGGTTGTCTTGATTTCTACCAACACTCAGGACCGCCTAGCTGCTCAAACCTTCTTGCCTGAGTGCCGAGTCCGAGGAGATTCGCTCTTAAGTAACCTCTGCCACCTCCTTAATTGGGCTGCCCAAGTTAGCGCAGCTCCCTGTCCTATTATAAAAGCATGAGCTTGCAAGAAGCTGGGGCACGTGGCCCCACGTTGATGGGAGGCGACGTACGCACGCTCGGTCAGACAGCACTCGGGAGTTGGAGTTCTGTAACATCGCGCTTCGCTCATTATATGATCTTACAACTTTAAGGACTTCGTGGAAGTTTGAGTAGCACATTGGTAGGATGTTTTTTTTTTAATCAAATGAACACACGTGTACCATGACAGCCAACTCCACACCTCTCCATTTGACAAACGCACAATTTATTTAGAAAAAGCAGAAGCAGATAATTCGAGATTTGAAGTTTTCGTGACTGCAAGGATCCATATACTCTTTGGTTCTTTCGGTAAAGTCACGTGGGTGAAATAAATTATTCTTATTTTATTTTTATTTCACCTACGTGACTTTACCGAAGGAACCAAAGAGTACAGAAGCAGCTGTTTGTTCGACACAACGACACTTAGAAAAATCAAGTATACCGATCATAAAGTGATCAAAAATATTAACGGACTGAAAAAACTCACGTAACTGAACATTAAACAACCGCTCAAGGTTTGGCAAACTGAACTTGTCAATGGTTACTCCATTGCTACTGCGATGTTGATTTATTAAAACCACGCACGCTTTGTCAAATGAAACATTGTTTAGCCAAATGAGCCGTAACCAAATGATGAATCAAAACTGATAAACCCAATTCCCTCCACGTGTCAGCTGCTCCCGCTAAAGCCTTCATAGATTCTGCGGCTCAGACTAAAAATATCGAAATGTGTGGATTATGGGAAGTTATAGTGGACCTGACAGTTAAAGCGTATTCGTGACTATTCTGTGCATCGGCAGTCATGATTGTTTTGCAAACTCCATATGGAAATCGTGGCAAAGGAGATTATAACGTGAGTAGAGTCCATAAAATCTTGAAAATGGCTTTCCCAGTAAAGATGCCGCTCGTCATGCGCTGAAAATGCAACTCTGTATACAACTCTCTATTCTCAGCAGCATGGCACGGGGCAGTGGCGGTGCCGAGAGAGCCGCGGAGGGAGTGGAGGGCCAGAGGGCCACTAGCTTGCCCGCCCCGCCAGCCAGCCAGCAAAACTTTAACAATTATATAGTATGACATATACTGTATATAAAATGTAAGCGCATTTTCCGTGACCTTTCCACAAATAATTGTTTTGTCCCTGCACCTTGGATATGAATTTCACGAAATGTTACCGTTCAAATATTCACTTTGTTTTTTTCTAATGGCTTGTTGACGATTTATTTACCGTAATTTGTCTCGTATTTTACTGCAGGGTTCAGGTTCACTTGGAATAAACTTTTGTCTCATTGTGGTCAGACCAGTAGGTAGCAAATATATTTAGAGGTAATTGATTATTACCTTCTTACATCTATGTCTGGTATAAAAGTTCACTGAAGTAACAGCTATATCTCTCTTGATTTAAATCTTTCGTGACTGCAGGGATTCATATTCTTGGTTCTTTCGGTAAAGTCACGTAGAATGGAAATAATAAAATAATATTCTGATGCAAACACATATACAGTGATGTGACCACGTACGTGTATGTTCCGTGACCTCCTGCCAGCGGGCCTTCGACACCTCACGTGGCCTCAAAGTGCACCTAGCATGGCACAAGCGCCGTGGTGACGTCACCACGACTTAGTGATGAACGGCGGTTTTTCTTGTCGGTCATACTGACTTTGACAGCACTGATGAAGGAACTGTCTTGCAACATGTTTAATTAATTTTGAGCAGGAGAAAGTTGCACTACAGAATGGAGTGATGTTTACAGATGTGTCGAACATATCAGGACAGAGATTGATGGCATATGTTTCAGAGAGTGGTGGCATATCGTTCATCACACTCTCTATGCTGGTGTGTTTGACCCCATCAGTACAACATTCTCACTCAATTCTACAGTGCAACTCAAGGGCCATCAGCACAGACAAGTCCAAACCACATGGCTTCCAGTACTCACAACTTACCACCCACTTATGCAGCTTTCCCCAAAGACTGCCTGTCAACCCCTTGCAACACTGGCTTCTACCCCAACAAACATATTACAGTTTATCAATACACAATGTCAGAAATTTCTCACAATCAGAAGTTCAAACCCCAGTAAGGGGTCAACTCATCCCATCATCTCTCCTGCGCAGATGGTTTATTGTGGAGAGACTGGATCCTGCCACATGTATGTGGAACTTCCACAAATCACTCACGAGTGCCAAAAGGGATGAACATTCATTTGAGCACGGACACACGTAGCCTTGATTTCCCTGTGATCTTTATTTAATCTACAGGTCTGGGTCTGACTATTCCCTCACTGAAACGTCCCCAGAAGACCCATTACCATCACGTGCAGCAGTCGGTTACATTCCACCCATGTCCATCAGCTGTGCTGTCCACTGCTCTCCTTAGGCTTGTAAAGATGTGAGGGCGGTATCGAGTGACCAGAGGGGAATGGGGCCAGGCAAGGTTGTTGAGATGCCTCCACTGTTCAGAAGCCTCCTGCATCCCAAACTATAGTGAACCACTGTGGTATGCGCTCTTTCAACGGAGGAGGAACAGCAAAAGTACACGAACTCCCTCCTGAAGCCCTCTCGTGGCTCACAGAACTCGACGTTGGCAGTCAGCTTCTGAACATATTGCCATCATGCGCAAGAATAGAACATTGTGGAACCCTACAGTGGTATACAGTAGATGTTCTCCAAATCCCTTACATTTAGTTAAATAAAAACATATCAAATATCATTACTGGACATTTAATTTTATAAGGGGTTTTGTCTGCTTACTTCAATTATTGGAAACATTAAAAGTACTCGACTTGTATATTAAAACACAATGTAGTAAAACATTTACTGATTGTAGGGTGTTTTTGGATACTTTTGATCATTTTTCATCAGGGCTTCTCTAGTTGACCTTCCTGTAGCAGTTATACCCATAGTGTAATGTGCCAACAAACATTTTTATTTTACTTTTAACAACAAATTAGTTGGTTTATTTAGTAATAAATGTTTGGTTACTGAAGGAGTCGTCTGCTACTTGATACCCACTCATCACCTCATGTTATAAAGTGCAGTCTGAAACTCTTATCATTCTATATCTCTGGCCTCTCTTTTCGTGTCTTATAAAGAAGGGACATTGCCTAAAACGTCGCCTATTAAAGACGTTTCATTTCAAAGCCAAAGTGTTATTGACGATCGTGTTGAGTTTTTTGGGGGTTTTTCGACATGAGGTTCCTGCACTCCCAGAAGGCCCTGTGGCTGATGTGATGTGTGACGGATATGTGGGGGGACGTTGTTACTTATATTCTCCACAACAACAACAAAAGTTATTATTACTATTGTACCAAGATAAAACATCAGACAATACGTCTTCGCATATCCGTTTCCGCGTAAACAATTACCGTATATATGTTTTACACATCCCATTGGCCGCAGGGCCTTCTGGAAGTGCACAATTTCAGCAGCATTGATTGAGGACAAGCAAAACTAAGCACCGGTGTAGACACCCAAGTGTCTCATCGCATCAAGAGTCCTGCTTTGCTCGGACAAATGCCGATGAACTGCCAATATTATAGGCAAGGACCCCATATCTACCCTACGAGAGGGGTCCTAGTCCTATTAATATTCTCGTTGGTGAGGTAATTTCTCAGACGATGCTGCCATCAGTGCCGGATTAAGCTAGTTCGGGGCCTGTAGCATATGTTATAAAGGGGCCCAAAAACCATCAATATTAAAACACATACATGTTTTACTTGCATAGCAAAGTAATTGTATTTTTTCCTTTGCTATACAGCCAGATAATACGACAAATCGCTAACCTTAAACACCCAGTCGTTCAAAAAAGTTGAAGGCAGTATAGTACTATAGTAATAGAGCAAGTGCAGAATCACTGAACCTGAATTGAAAGCTTGAAAGCATTTAGCGCAGGGCCCTTGAAAGTACGGGGCACGATATAACACATTCTTGCGGAGGGAGCTGGTAGGAACGTTGGGTTGCTCGGTCAATGGTCAGGGTCAACGGCGGCGTGGTGTATTCCTCAAATATGCCCGACTGTGAGGGCGGGCACAAGCCGGCGTGAGTAGGTTAAACGTTGAGTTGTATAAGGGCACCACGGGGTGACCAGCCCCTCCCCACCCAACCCCTTCATCCCCACCCAGCCCCTCCCTGCACGACGGACACAATAATCCCCTGTGGGCTGGTGTAACCAGGAGATTCCTACCAGTATAATCCGGCATTGGCTGCGATTACAGTATACGCTGCGCCCTCTTGTGACACTTCGCTGAGGGTGTTGTTGCAGCGTCTCCATGCCCTTCGCTCGAGACTCCGTCCGCAACCACCTGGCACCATTGGGTTGGCATCCGTCACTGGCTTTGGGCCGTGACGACGTCTTCATGTTGAGCGTATTCACGTGCAGTTATTGCATTCGCAATGCGCACACGTGCAGCGTGTACACGTGACGCATTGCAGTGGACACGTGCAGTAAGCACAGTTGTGTGCGCGCACGTAAGCGAGTCGTGTGTAAAGGGGCCGTCCATAAATGACGTCACGCACCTGGGGGGTGGGGGGGGGGGTCAGACATTTGTGACGATGTGTGACGAGGGGGGGGGGGGTGAGAAATGTGACGTCACATCAAAATGCACAACTTTAAATAAATATAGACAACACGTTCTACTTAATTAAATAGACGTTTTGATAAATGTTTCCTCCTACAACATCAGAGTGCAGCGCCACATTAAATACGCACTACAATGACAATAGTTTAAAGCGATTTGAAGCATGTTTTATTTTGGGGGGGGCAGAGCTTTGTGACGTCATATTTGAGAGAGGGGGGGGTGTATGACTTTTTGTGACGCCGTGTGAATAGGGGGGGGGGGGTCAAAAAATCGTCCAAAATCGCGTGACGTCATTTATGGACGGCCCCTTACAACACCAAACCTTATTAGCAAGGAATCACGTCTGCATTAACCACATTTACTTGTGTCGAACATGCAAACAAAAAACATGCTCTGATAGTATGTGCATTGTCTCTGAAACGGATAGGTCCACACCAGAGACAGCCAAAAAGGGTAAAATCTACTCTTAGATATATATTATTAATACTGGTAAGGGATGTCCCATGATTTAAAAAAAATGTTAAAACTTAAAAAAAATTTCAAATTTATAATTAAACAACGAAGCCCGGCAACGACGCCTTCCCATTGGTCAATCTCCCACCCCCCACCCCCCACTCCCCACGCGACGCTGAACCAATGGGAAGCTCTCGCTTGGCAACGCGGAAGCCATTGCCATGGCAACCAGGTACGGTCGTCACGGGGTGATGACTTCATTCATTCGTTCGTTCGTCGCGTTTCGTTCGCAACGAGACGACGACGACGACGCGACTCGTTCGCCTCGTGTCCGTCTCGGCGTGAGACGCTCGCAATGTTCTCCAAAGGCAAAAGCAAGTGGGAGTTTGTAAGTCGCGTGCGGTTGTAAATGCGTTGTTTATCGCCCGTCGTGGAGGTGGTGGTGTTGCTGTTGTTGTTTACACATTCGCCGCGAAATTAACGTTCGCGCTGCGTTTACTTTCATTTCATTCGGTTGGAGAAAATAAACAAAACTTGTGCGAAGCCAGCAGCAGTGTGTTGTCCCGTGGAAGTTCTGACACGTCTCTTGTCGAAATGTGCAATGTCCGTCAACGATGAGGAGCTATTGAGAGCGTGTTGAGGCACTGTCATTTGTGTACAGTACGTGATGTTCTTTTATCGCAGTGTAGGAACAACAGTGACTTTAATTAGTCAGCTAATCACGCTTTTTAGTCGCGGGAAAATGTTGTCTATAAGTTGAGCGGTTAAACCGAAGTCTGAGAGCCCACGGTCATTCATCCTCCTTCGTTTGCACCATCGCTGATGTTATACCGTACTGTAGTACTGTAATAACACCTTTCAGGATGAATATGCCCAAGCCTTTGGGGCCGTCCATAAATGACGTCACGCACCTAGGGGAGGGGATGAGACATTTGTGACGAGGGGAAGGGGAGAAATGTGACGTCACATCAAAATGCGTAACTTTAAATAAATATAGACAACACGTTCTACTTAATTAAATAGACTTTTTAATAAATGTTTTCTCCTACAACATCAGAGTGCAGCGCCACATTAAATACGCACTACAATGACAATAGTTTAAAGCGATTTGAAGCATTTTTTTTTATTTTGGGAGGGGGGGTCAAAAATCGTCCAAAATCGCGTGACGTCATTTATGGACGGCCCCTTAGCCGTCTTTACACTTCACTATCTTGGTGGAAACCTACCGTTACGAATAAGGCTATTGGTAAACACTCGGTGAACAAAGTTGAGAAAGGTATTGCTGAGTACACACAGAATGATGCCAGCATCGCTTTCTTCAAGGTTGTCTCGTGGGTTTAAAACATTTACCCATCATCCAAGGTCTGCTCTTGCACCATCTATCTCACCATGGCATCTGCCTTTAAGTCTTCTCCTTGGAAGCCAACCTCTGGGTGTCACTCAAGTGCCCGCCTTGGTAACCTGTCATGTGCTGCTCCACCACTGCGCACATGCCTCACCCATATGTCACTTGAGTACAGTGATACACGTGTGTACATGTACATCCCTTTTGTCAATTCACTGCTGGATGAGTACCTCCCCACACTGCGCGTGTCGTTGGTGTTGGGGTAGGCAGGTAGCGTTGGGGTAGGCAGGGAGCATAGTACAGTCCAACAATGGTAAATGCTGACAGTGTAGTCCTGCAACAGTCTAACAACACCTGTTCTAAGCTCAACCCTGCTTCGCTTCTGAGGTTTAATGAGATCGGGAATACAGGTAGTCCTCGACTTACGAAGGAGATGCGTTACGACGACCCTCTCGTAAGTCAAAAATATCGTAAATCAAAGATGGCCTAGCCTACCCGGAAGTCTTAAAGAATGGAGCTCATTTAGCAAAACAGAGCAATTTACAGTACCGTACTGTATAAACTATATACTGTATGTATTTATTAATTACAATACTGTATTGCATAGTAAAATGTAAAGTAAAAAAAAGGTAACTTCTTAGCCTCTCTATATGAACTGCAATTTAATAGAAAGTTTTTTCAGGAAATAATCCTATCTCCTATAAAAAACTTTTAACATGCATTGAACGTATCGTATCGTGGTAACACTAAAATGAAATCGCACATGCATTGAACGTATCGTAACGTATCATATTGTACTGTACTCACCAAGATTCTATCCGTCGTCTGCATACTTGAACGATGTTAGGTTGTTGATGGCAATTTTGTCATATCGCTGTCACCATCGTAAGATTGAAATATCGTAAGTCGGACCATCGTAACTCGGGGACTACCTGTATTCTGGGTGATTGAGCCATAGGCAATACAGGGACATGATGAGTCAAAGGCAGACGTCATATTCCTTCTGTTACTTAGAGAAACGTAATATATCCGTGACGGCTTGGAGAGGCCTTTATCCACCAATGCATTGAACGTGGCTGACAATGATTATTCCTTCTGTTACTTCTAGAAACATGTCTGTGCTGGGCTTGGTCCAGCACTCACGCTGGCTCCTCTCCCGGCCGTGCCCATCTCCCCGTCGCCGCGCGTCCCGGAAAACATCCTTCGCCGCAAACCCCAGTACAACATGGCCAGCATTGAGGGCACACGAGCAGGGCACTTCTTGGTGGCATTTAGTAACCGCACATTCATGGTGGTTCATGCAGCAGAATATGGGATGTGCCAGGGCTTCATTTCACATTGAATATTTTCTAGAGTGGACTTTAGACAGAACCACGGTGGCCTGTAAGTAGCCACAGCCATATACTTGATGTGGTGTGCTGGGTGTGGAAAAATCTTCTGGAAGGCTCACTCGAATAGACCAGGCTGATATGAATTGCTAATGTGTGCACAATTTTATGGTTAACAAAACATTAAGCCATAAAGCACTGGCACAATCTTTGCTTGTTCAGGAGTGCACATGCAGTTCAATTAAACACAACAAATTGACATTCTGATAAACATGTATCCATTTTATCACTAAACAATCTGTTTCAATTGTAATAAGCACTGCACAAAATGTGTATCTAAATAAAATCTAGTGTTTCCTAAATTTCATAAAATATCTTATGGTGTGTGCCCCATTAGTAATGTGAGCACAAAATATTCTGTACTAAATACCAAATGAGTAATATGCATACAGATAACTGGACAATTTTGCTTTTTGTTCATTAAGCACATGCTAAATATATTAGCTATGTAACAATATTCACCGCAGCACTGATATGAGGTCTATTTTTTTGTTATCCTAACATCCGCATTTACATTTATTCTTACATATCACGAAGAATACATTATAGAATGAAAATCAGTATTAATTTATCAATCTATCAACTGTTAAATGCATGCATAATTATATGAACGTATGCTTTTTTTTTTGCCGGAACAATATTTAAGGCAGTGGCCTATTTCAGAGCATTGATCACGGTGGTTTTGTCACCACCACCATTCAGCAGAAGATGGGCCATCCATCGCCAACCGTTAACCTGTGTGGCCATGTGTGTATCCCAGCTCTGCCCTGGCAGCGGCCGTGTTTGTGTCATCGATGACGGGACGTGTCGTGGGCATGCCCCTGGCGAATCTGCAAAGTCAACGGCCTCGCTCCTGGTCCTTCTCGGACACGTACAGCATCGTGGAGCCGTACGGCCCTACTGGCCAGTAAGTTTGTTGCCCTTCTGATTTAGGGTTGGAGCACGTGTTGCCCGGCGTGATGTCCGATGTTTCACTCCACATGCTGGAACCTTCTTTAGGAACTGAATAGTTCCTGAGACCGAATCGTAAAATTCGGTTTCATGGAACCTCCAGTTTCTGAAGAAGCTTCCAGCAAGTGGAGGGAAACGTCGAACATTATGCTGAACAACATGTGATACAATGCAAGCACACATTGGAGAGCCAGACTCTTGTTGAGTAGCCTTTTTTAAAGCTATACTTTCAAAGCCACGGTTTTTAGACCAAAGCACGTAATCACAGTTTTATTGATTGTTTACAGACATTTTCAATCATTTTAAATGCAAATGTAACAAATTTCATAGTTTTCATTCCCATAAACAGGTATATCAAAATGTCCACTTTGATACCATGTCTTCTCTTTTCATATTTTCCAAAGATACCTGGACGGAGTTGAAGTTCCACTTTCTGATGGCGAGGAGACGTCCAGAAGTCAAGGTGCTTCAGCAGAAAACACGTTTTGTACATGATCACCAAAACTACTAACTTAAATGTGACACGTACATGCTCTGGTCGGGATCTGTCTGGGTGGAGGAATCCGATGAGCTATGAAGCTCTTTTTCACAGATGTTCAGTCGGGACTTGCAATCCAGAGGTTGCTGATTCGATCACATTGTTCGGATCATATACAAAATCCTGTTCTAAACCAAGATAATACTGACAATTACAGTTCATTAACTCAATAGTCATATCATAAAACTTCACAATGGTAAAATAAATATGTATTCGTAAATTAATTAAGGACCTCTGCAGCTGCCATTAATTGTAATGTTCCACAGTGATCAAAAAATACCGCTCAATTTGCAAGTCATGTTGTAACTCATGTAGTAATTTACATAAAAAAAAACCATCTGCTAATCAGGACATAACCTCATGTTGTTTGAGTCACGTGGGCTCAGTCAAAGTATCCCAAGTCATTCAGATTTTTGTAGTAAAAATCCGGTTGAACTGATGATAAACAGAACTAATGATATACCCTTACAAGGCATCGCAATTTAATAATTTAGAATTGTACTTATGCCTCGGGTTTGACGTCTTCTCTACAGGATAGTGCAAAAAGGCAAATTGCAGATGTGCGTCTTTGGAGCCATTGTGCCCAGAGGCATCATTTGATTCACGAGAATGTGCCCTTTTACATTTGTGTTACAACAGCAGTGGAGTCTCGCGCAGAGACGATGTCTCCAGACCCCGACTCACAAGGCAACCTGGGAGAGAGCTCAGCCATCCGTCAGGATTTGTCAGAGATGTACGCCCAGCCGAACAAGAATAAGCATGTACGTGCCAACGATCAGCACGTCTGAGCATTATTTCCTTCACAAGATTAGAGAAAGCCTTATTAAAGGAAAACACAAACCATAAATTGATAAAGAAGCAGACAACACCTTCGCATATCTGCCCCTCGACATTCTACACATCTCATCAGCCACATGGCCTTCTGGGAATGCATAATTTCAACAACATCGGTCCAATTCCTGTTGTCCAGAAGCTCACCTTTGTGAACTGGTGTTACACATACCATCTATTTATTTTGTTTATTAAAGTTTGAGTCTCCACGATAGAGGAGATTCTTAGCAGAGGGAGCAGTGGTTCGATTCCCAGCCACAGGTGTCATCAGTGACGAGTGATATCTGAACCAATCCTGGGCCCTAGATTCTCTCTTTAACCTTTTTTAAGGCAATTTTAGTGAATTCATGACTTATTAAAGTTGGTCCACACTTTAGTGATATTAACCAAAAATGGCACAAAGAAAGAAAAAAAAAGTTTTAATCTTTTAGTTTCCCTGTACCATTCTCAACATCCATAGCAGTCTATAGCTGGGTATGACTTGCTGATGAGCCCTTATGAAGGTGAAACTATAATGGTAGCTCTATTGTGTTCTTTGGGTCTTTCGGTAAAGTCACGTAGATAGGTGCAAATGAATAAAAAGGAGGATGACCATCGTTTGTGTTGTGATCGAAACGTCGTAGTTTATTTTATTTTTATTAATTTGAACCTATCTATGTGACTTTACCGAAAGACCCAAATAATATGAATTCCTGTAGTCACGAAAGCTTTAAGTCCAGCTCTATTGTGCTTACATATGTATAATCTCGTTAATCAGTCTGCTTTCTTCAATTACTCTGTTGCTGCTTGCAGGCTGAGGTTGCAGAAGTGACAGAAGCCATTTCAAGTGAAGGGCATTCAAACACTCAGCAGGCACAGAAACCCAAAAAGAGTAAGGTTGTACACCAACACAACCATACTTTGTGTTGTTCTTGGTGGCTTTGTGATACATTTACATGGTGTTAGTTAATGGTCATAGCCTGCCAAGGTGACCGATGGTTGTAGTATATGACTCGCAGTTTAAAGGTTGCAAATTAAAATATCTCTCAGACATCAGCTCAGCCCACCATATCTCAAGGATAGATAAAATGAGTACCACGTTATGGCTAAGCCAACAGTGTTCATCCGATGGAGACCGGCTCTTGCCATGGTAATGGGGAATTCCACGACTGTCTTAGGATCATCAGCAAAGATGAGCACAGCTCAGTGCTCATGTGGAAACACTTTGAGGTTAAACGCATAATCTGTTTCATTCGTTTAAGAGTACGCATGCAATCATTTGTGTATTAATTGGTTTAATGTTTCTCTTCCTGTAACAGAGCGCCAGCCCGAAATTAATCCAGAGGTGTGATATGCTGCCGCAATTTAACATTCACGAATTTTCTATAACGACTCAAGCCCTGTGCATATTAATGTCAGTTAAACTCGGGGTTACCATCGAAGTTGGGACATGATCACGTGAAACTATAATGGTAGCTCAGCTGTGTGTGTTGTGAGTAATCTTGATATTTTTGGAATGATCCTCAGGTGACTGTGAACACACTAAGGGATGAGGAACGTCCAGGTAAAAGCAAAGAGCAGCAGCTCACTCACAACGTGGGCACAGTTAAGAGGACTTAACAAAACATGCAGGCATGTGTTTGTGGCACAAACCTACACCTCAACATCTGTACATTGACATTTACGGCTCTGTGTTCATTCACCACTGGATGGGAGTCTCCCTGTGCCAATGTGGATTATGGGGGTTATTGGACCACCTTGGTTTAGTGTGTTGCAAATGGCATTGGTGTGATTTGTATCATGGGCATACATGCCTCATCCTCCATGTGTGTGCTGCTAAACTCTGCAGCTCATTGCCCACCTCTACCCACACAGTTATGATTTGCAATCGAAGGAGACCACTGTTTATCCATGTGGACCACTTGCCACTCTCAGAACTTATTTTCTGACGTTGCTATCTTCACATTTGATTTAGAAAAGTTTTTTGGCTTGGCCATGTTTGTTTGTTGTAGTACGGAGTTAGAATGATGGCTTTAATCTAAGTTGTCTTGTGGTTGTTGTTGTTGTTTGACTTGCATCCCACTGGGATTTTTGCACAGCGTTGGTGTACGGTGCTTTTTTTCTGGAAGACTTTGCAGTTTTTTCCTGGATTTTTCTGTTTGCACATAGTCACTTTAAGATGTTTTCTTGTTCATGTTTTTGTTTTTTGCTTGTTGCGGTTGCGCCCGATTCAAGAGCCGAATGGCTCACAGGGCTATACCAAATAAATTAAACTGAAACACATTGGGCCTAGAGTTCCTTGAGCCTCCATGATATTAAAGCTGTAGAGGACATCTAACTGGTGAAACCTCACAATCCTCTGTAGGTTTTCGTGTTTTTTCGTCAGATGCTGACCACGTGTCTGTTTGCCTGCGGTCACCAGCGGATGCGCTCAGTGGCTCTGTCCCAGACGACGTGGCCACTCTGAAGGGGATGGTGCACAGGCTGAACGTGCTGCTCAGTCGCTACCAGGCCACCTTCCGCCCTCTGACAAAAGAAGAGGTAACCCCCCCCCCCCCCCTTGTGTATGTACAGTAAACCCTTGGATTGCAAGTAACCTGGTCTGCGAGTGTTTTGCAAGACGAGCAACATTTTTTTATAAATATTAATTTGATAAACGAGCGAGGTCTTGCAATACGAGTAGTACGTATACGCTTTGTCTGCCGAGCGTCACGTGACCACAACTGATATACGAGTGCTTTGATATACGAGTGCTTTGGATTACAAGCACGTTTCCGGAACGAATTATGCTCGCAATCCAAGGTTTTACTGTACATGCTTACTACCAGGAGGAAGTGCTCACGTTAGATTTTTTTTCTTAACATCTCGGCTACATTTTCCTGAATGTAGAAAAGACTTAGGTCAATTCGAGGGTCAATTATGACAATGATACTGTGTGACCCCCACACATTGTGGGTTGTTGGCTTTTTTTATTTGTGCACACACGGTGGACATGAAGAGCCTTGGTGAAGGTACTTTACACTTATAAATGTGGATGTTGGAGATATGTAGGTAAAAATAAATGATTGTATTTATGTATTAATGGGTCTTCTAATTTAACTATGGTAATGTGTACGTGTAATCATTTTCTAGAAACAATCTCAAAATTTTCACATCTTTTGCGACCACGTGAGAAACACGTGATTTGAATATATTTTATGATAATATCTTTTATTAGGTGAAGCTAAGTATATTTACCGTTCACACAGGAAAATGATTGCTGAAAATATGAAATTGTATTTTTGTATGCATCCTAGAAAGTCACTGGCATGCTCATTATAACAACGTTCACTATTAACTTCTAAAAACAACACGAAATGCTTACCCAGGAAAGTGCGTCACTCAATTCTAAGATCATCAACTCAGATACCAGGTGAAATTGATTGAGCAGGTGTTCGCTAAAATAACTAATAACCCAGTGGTGTCTCATCATTAAAGGCCGCTGGAATCAGGCACCATCAATGAAAAAATATAACACTATGCTGACCTGCACATTCGACGTTCACAAAATGTGTGCTAATTGACTTTCACTCTAGATAATGTTCAATTTCATAACGGCAGCAAGAGATACGGCGGTTTAAAATGGGAAATTGTGGGGGAGGAAAAGAGGAAGGATGGGTGGCATAAATTTCTCTACTGAGAACGGGAAATGTTTTTTATAGCCCACAGAGGAAGAATATGAATAAAAGGAAGTTTGTTTGAAGAAGCATTACATTTTATTGGGGAGTGATGCTGAGCAGGAGTTTAAATGGACGGAGACCATAATCCCATTTTATTTAAGTGAATGAGAGTAGGGATAACGTACAGCCTTTGTTCACTGTTGGATGAAGGCCTTCCCACTCTGTCTCAGTCATGGTGGTTGTTTGACCATACCTCACTACATTGGTGAATGCAGGTTGGTGAATGGATGTGGAGCCAAGGACTGGTGCAGAAATCACTCACCACTGATGTTAGCCAGGAATTGATCTCAGGTTGTCGATTTCGTATCAGGGTACACTAACCACTGTGCCAACATTCCCTTGCTTATTCAAGTTACTGTCGCTTAAATGTTCTATGGATGCTCGACTGAAATAGTGTGTTAGTTCACACGGAGAATAATGGAGGTTCATGATTCTTCCAGGTGTACACAATTGTCCTCCTGGCCATTCCGTTAAATATATGCAAAATAACTTGAGGATTCCATGATAGGGAAACACGTGTGCATGCTGGGAAGCATGTTTCTCAGCTACTTGCCTAGCTAGGAATGTGGAATTGTGTCCACCTGCTCAGGACCATAGGGCATGCTACACTTTGAGCTTTCCTGCTGTGATTCATCACAGGGACATAAGTTGACTCCTTTTCCTTTAATCCCACAGAGGAAGAAGAAGGCAAATGGATTATGCTTCAAAGGGCCCCTCCCTCCATGGCTGGTAATCCTCTGGGCCTTATTCGTTGTTTCTCACACACCTGGCTTCAAGACGGTTCCATTCTAAACGGAAGTCATACAGCCTATCATCTTTTTCAAGCCGGAAGGTTCATTGGTTGTTTTGCAGTACAGTGTTGTACCAATGAGTCTGCCACCGAGATGGAAAACTGCCTTCTTTTTTCAACTATAGCTACTTTTAGGGTCGTGTCTTTGTGCTTATGTGGTGATTTGTGATGGGTTTTATTGATAATTGCAAACAATGTTTTTATATTGTGGATAAGAGGCTGAAATTCAAATTATCCACGTTTTTGCTTATCCAAAGAACTGTCAGCTTGTGTAATGAATAGGAAAAGAGAAATGCTGTACAGTAAACTTCTTAAAAACCTAGCATCAATGTATCACAGATCATCTTGAAGCAGGAGTAAAAACATTAAAATTAAAATAACAACGATAGTAAGAGTAAGCACCGACTCGTTTACCCCTAAAAGTGCTGAATTGATGACTTGGAAAAAGTGCAATTCTATGACACCAACCCTGCCTACACACACTTATGTGTCCATGCATGAATACTTCATATAGTTTATATCATTAGAACATGGAGTGTCAGAATGAGGCTAACAGCAGGTTGTTAGGACTTATTTTCATAGCTTGTACTTGAGATAGTTTGGGTCATATTCCCATGTTGCCAAAATAAATCACCTGTGGCGATTTGCCGCATTGTCGGTACGTGGAGAAATTGGAACGTCTCCCCCAATTATCAGCTGAAAAGGTACCTCAGCTAAAACATGAATAAACTCCCGTATTTTATTTACCAGGTAAAACCCACTGAGCCATTATCTCTTTTGCACAGGTAACCTGGCCACACATGATAGGTCATCGAAGTGGCTTATACCATATGTGGGAATTTATAGTGTAGTAATTATGGTGCTAGTTAGGAGAACAGGTGGGAGAGGTTAAAGAGGGGTTGGTGTAGGCCTGGTTCTAGCTGGAGTCTTATTCAGCCGGTTAGGCCCAGGTTTTATGCTACAACGAGTTTCCTTGGCCCGAGCATCTGTCCTGTGCAGGTGGACGTGCAGCACATGCCCCCTCTTCTGCTGGAGTATGACAAGGAGCTTCAGCAGAAGGAAGAGATGATACGCAATTACGAGGTACAGCTGATATTTACACTCTATGGACAACCTTCTGAAAATCTCATGTTTGCTATAGCCCGATGGGTACGTGTAAATATTGTGCATTTTGTGATGCAAATATGACAATTGGAAACATTTAGAGCTTAGTTCACTGACTATTTATAAGATAAGACCTGTAAATTGGGTTCACATATTATAATGTACAATATATTCAAACAAGTGCAATATATAAAATAAAAAGTTATTTGTTACGTATGCTATTTATTACGTATCCAACGGTGTATATTTTTAAAACCTTTATATTAAGTTCACTTGCTTGCGCGCTTACGACCGTGCAAATCTTTCCGTGATCCAATCGAGCTGACATTTTGCACACAGACTCGTTGTGCGTGACAATTTATTTTCGTGAAATTTTTTTTTTTTTAGGAAAAAATAAATTATATTTAATTACCAATTGCTTAATGGTGGCAGGAGGACTCTAGCCGCCACGCATATACAGGATTTATAGTGAAAAACTTTGTTTTTACAGGTTAATTTTTAAACAGTGCAATATGTAATACAAAGGCAGGGTATTTGTTACTTATCCACTGGGCTCATTGCTCGAAACTGATTCTTGGTGAACTTCTTCAACCATGCTCAGTGTGTTCTGTGCTCATCGGATGCCACGGATGCACCTTATAGATATGTCAAATAACAACACACTTTTATAACAGAGAGACATTTTGTTAAATGACAGTCTCTTCAAACACAAAGTTCTTCTCCTTCCAAGACTATTCCCCATTCGGCCACCTCATTCTCTGGGAATGATTCGAGCCATCTGTTTGCAGGAGGAACTACATGCCCTGCGTGAACAGATGAAGGGGAACAGAAGGCTTGCAGGAAGAGGAGTTGGTAATGAGCTTTTGACTTCATCGCAATGGCAGCAACACACACACCATAACACAAGTCCTGAATGCTATGCTCGTTGTTGATCAGGGGAGAGGTGGTGCAGTGGGTTAGTACACTGTGCTATAAACTTGACAACATGATTCTAGATTTGAAGTTTTCGTGACCGAAAGGATTCATACTCTTTGGCTTTTTCGGTAAAGTCACGTAGGTAAAAAATAAATAAATGAAAAACAACTAAATTAAATCACGACGTTTCGGAGGCAACACAAGCTTCCGTCTTCAGGCGGAACCGTTACAGCCAAAATCACTGTCGTAAGTGATGGCTTACGACAGTGATTTTGGCTGTAATCACTTACGACAGTGATTTTGGCTGTAACGGTTCCGCCTGAAGACGGAAGCTTGTGTTGCCTCCGAAACGTCGTGATTTTATTTAGTTGTTTTTCATTTATTTATTTTTTACCTACGTGACTTTACTTAATTGACAACATGAGTTTGATTTTTGGCCACGGCTAATTTCAGTGGCGAATGATACCTGAACCAGTCCTGGCTCCCCCTGCTTTGCTGTACTGATAGAGCATGGGGAAGCCCACGATGAATGTCTGTATGTTTTTGATTATTTTGTTATGAATCAAATGCCTTTTATCAATTGATCGAGCGTGCTTGATTCCCGCTTGTAATTTGTGAGTTTAAATCCCATTTGACGGTTGATGCAGCCCATCATCCTCCTGCAGTCGATAAAATAAGTATAACTTTCTGGGGCATCAACAGCATTTGTCCCATAGGGAAACCGGCCCCATATGTATGTGGAATGTTTACCATTCAGGAGGAGCACTGCCCAATGCGTATTGAACCATAGCCACAGCTTCAATATGATTTTATAGAAGGGACATTGTGCAAAAATCCAAATCTAGGATCCTCATGATAAATAATCTTGAGACTCAATGAGTCCTAAGATATATATAAAAAACCTACTCTATATATCAGTGTTTCAACCATTGCTTGTTAATGATACAAGTGGATTTATTATTGACTGTGTTTCGTACTCCGTTGCCATTGCAGTTCCTGAAATATTCCCTTGTTTTGATTGTCTAAAATATACATAAAGGGGGCAACTTGTAATTGATCACCAGCATTTTTCAGAAGCAATTATTAGCCACCAGAGTCGCAACAGCTTGCACATCTCACCTTCATACAGGCTGGGCTACCCTACCTGCTTTCTGTGCTCAGGACTGGCAGTCCTGCACATTGTGCGGCTCGCTCGATTGCTCACGGCTTGAGTGGGGATCTGCACAGGTGTGGGCCATTCACACTGGGTGGATATGATCAAGTACTCTTTTGGACTTGAACTGAGAAGGGCGTGCAGTTTGTGTACAACAGGTGTCGGATGCTTGAGGGCATGTCTCGTATGGAGGAGGCTCGTGAAGGACGCTTCTGGGCAGTTGGAGGCACTCGCCTTCCAGCAATAAAGGAGGGCAGAGGAGCGATGCTCACAACAACGAACGGAGCGCCGGGCAGTTAAAATGCAGCAAGTTGTCACAGTAGCGGGCACAGGTGGTGCATCTGCCAGTCATCTCAGTCAGTCAACCCATGGCAGCTGGGTCTGTCCTGTGACCTCCTGCCAGCAGCGAGCCTTCGACACTTCACGTGGCCTCGAAGTGCACTTGGCCTGGCACAGGCACCATGGTGACATCACCGCCACTTAGTGGCGAATGGCGGCTGTTGGTGCTCTATAGGCGTGCTTGCCGGAGCAAGGAGACCTGCTCGTTCTTTTGCCGATTCCCACACGCGTGCTCGCACTAACAGCTTGCCTATGGATATGCCGTCGGCAGACGAGGAGTCGAATGACCGTGCCCAGGAGGAGGTGGTCTCCCTGAACGAGATAGTGCACAGGCTGAACGTGGTGTTGAGCCGCTACCAAGCCACGTTCCGCCCTCTCACGAGAGAAGAGGTGACCCTTTGCCTCATTTGCCAGTCTGGAATTTCCATCGCTGGCCATAAAACGTCCACACGCTTATTTGAGCATGGAGACCCTTTGACTTGCTGGGCTAATCTAATAATGTGCTGCTGTATGACTAACATCTAGCAAACAGAATAGATAGTGTACTCGTGTTTATCTTGTATACATTGCCTTTCATAAACTGCGGTCAATATGAATGTATTTGCTCTCGCAGCGCCTCGCGTGCGATCCCTCCACCGTCGCCGTGTACACAGCAAGGCGCCCGTGTACACAGGGCCTCGTCCTTGCGCCACTTTGGGTTCCCCGGGTCAAAGCTGAACGATTGACAAACACCTCGCATTGCATCAATAAGTGTGTGGTGATGTCGATGAAGAAAATACATATCTTTCAGTAGATATTTTAATTATTGATATTCTAAGTTGACAGAATGATATGAAAAATAGTGTAATTCATCCATCCATCAATACGTGTCTTTATTGAGCAAACACAACAATCCAAACACTGCATGAAATGTTCTTGCTCTTCAGGTCAAGCCGTGCGTTCTCAAATAAAACAAATTAGAATGTTGATAGGGATGTTTTGCTGCTCTTAGGTATGTCGTTCATTCTTATACTATTTTTGGTTCTCAATTTATAAGTGGAATGGCAAAACATACATTCATAGTTGTATAATTATTACAGATCACAAATGTTGCAATCTTTCAATAATTAGAATTCTAATCATCGTTGTTGCTGTGTTGTTACCTATAATGCAATGGTGCCCTTTCATTTCACAGAATAAGACGCCAAATGTTCTGCGCTTCAAAGGACCAATCCCTCCCTGGCTGGTAATCCTTCTGCCTAGTTACTTATTTTCTTAATCTATAACAGAGTCCAGACCCACAGTTGTAAATTAACATGACCCCCCTGCATATTGAGGGAATGGTAGCTATTAACACGATAAATGGGCACATTTCCATAAATTCCACCAATTTGGCTACAATTCTGCCATGAATTGGCAGAATAATTATTTTCTAATGTACAGAGGACAGGTTAAGTGATGTTTTATTATTTTGCCAATGTACTTGGGCTTTGTGTGTACAGGTGGATGTGAGGACGCTGTCTCCTCTCATCCTGGAGTATGACATTGTCCTTCAAGAGAAGGAAGACATAATTTGCCTTTTCAAGGTAAAGTGCCGACTGACCACAATTAAAAGGCTCAATTAAAAATCCTGCATGTTGCTCATTCCTGTCAACTTCTTCTCTCTCAGCCCACTTGGCTACCCATTGCATACCCTCTGCTCCAGGGCCCAAGAACTTTTGTCGATATCCTTCAGTGGGCATTCACTCTTTCTCCTCTGCTGCCCCTCTGGCTGATGAAACTCCACTCTTATGGTCTGCACTGCCAACTTTGTGTCCCTGTTTTAGTGCAGACATTCCCCTTCTCTGATTATCACCTCCTGCCTCTCACCATCAAATGTCTTCTACTTCATTCACAATACATCGTGGCCCCCTTCTCTCTGTCATGTAAACCTCCCCGACTCACAGCATCTTGAGATGGCAGTCACATTAAGTAGCTAAGTACAGCAACATTGCATTGTGTCGTATTGTTTTTGAGTAAAATGCAATTAAAAAAAAATATTTTGCAAATATTTAGCTTCACCTACGTGTTCAGCCTCATTTAATATTTTTGTTAAAATTAATATTTAACAATTTTAACTCTGTGTTAGGTTGTTTAAGGTTTCCCTTGAATGTTAGATAGTTATGGTGGTTTCCGTGTATGAAATGTTATAAGTCCACATTGTGGATATATATTTGCGGTTCCAGCAGAAGCTTGCCTTATTTTGGGAAGCACTAGTCCGCATTATGCTCATCTCACATTGGACTTAATCCTCCCACCTGAGATATTACTCCGAGTCCCAAACTATACAGCACTTTTGCAATGGTTACAGCACTAAAAAGTTGTTACTAGTTACTATTACACCTCTTTACAAATCAAACACCCAAATACAGCATCCCAAACTGTGCACTCTGCTTCTCAACCCAAAAGCCACGTTTTTGACTGGTTCACAGTTCATTAAGGTCCCACTTCATCTTGACTCCCTTCATTGGCCCCAGCCCTATTCTAGCTCGTAGATTACATGACAGAATTCATATATCATTCTAATGCAAAAGGATATTGAGTTGTCGATGAAACGTATTAAATAGCTGGGATGAAGGGAAGTCTTTTTTAATATATACTGCCATGTCACAGGAGAGACCCATAGGCTCAGAGCCTATCTGTTATACTGACTATCATCCAATGTCTAGAGAAGAACCCCAGCTTAATATAAAAATAATATAATAACATTATCAGAGTTGTGTTTTTTGTCTGCATTCCGACTGCAGATATTGTGGTCTATGCAAACATGACTCCTTGTAAAAAAGGTGTCAGTTTTGTTGCCAGATAAAAGGGTAAAAAAACAATTATCATATTTAGCTACTGGCAAAGGAGGTTCCAATGGTGTAAAAATAATATTGTTTGCATGAAATCGCTTAATAAGGGATTCATGTCCAACCTTATAAAGGGAGACCATGGAGGGAGAAGGGAGATGGAGTTTGGTTGGTTCATTGTTCTTAACATCACTTGTAGTCCACTCTGGGTCTTAACACCTGAGTGCGCGCGTGTGTGTGCCGCCAGTTGCTCTCTCACAGTCGTGTTTCTGTCGCCGCACCGGCTGACAATTCTTGCAGGAGGAGCTGCAGGCCCTGCGCACGCGCACGGAAAAGGTGGCGGACGAGAACGAGGAGCTGCAGCTGAAGCTGCAGAAGTTGCTGGCGGAGAGCGAGGAGCGTGCTGAGGAGCGGTGAGGATGAGGAGGGAATCGCGAGCTCCCCGTGGTAGCAAGCCGAACCTCGGCCTGATTTTCCTAAGCAAGTGGTCACTGGCCGATGCTCATCCTGAACCAGTTTTGTCTTTCCGCTTAGATACTCGGCTTAGTGACCCCTGAAGGATGATGAGCTGAATTTCTGACTCCAATTAGAATTCACAACGATTCCAAATGTGGGTCAAGGCCTCTGCCACTTTGCCACCTGTCCAGAAAATTACAATAACAGTATCGGAGAAATGTTGCTCACTTAAAACTTCTATTCTTCAGGTCAAATCTTTTTTTTTCTATATACATAATTATGTATACAGGATATTCCTCGACTTACGAACATCAGTTTAGATAATCATCACAGGTCTGGGCCGTGAGTAGGAATCGAACTACGGTCGCCAGGTTGTTTGTGTGCACGGAAATAGCAGTATCTCTTATTGCCTGCTCACAGGTCATCCCCATCGACGTATGGTGACCTGTATGGTCATTCAGTTTAACTGTATTATTTGATAAATCGCTTCTAAGCCTGTAACTATCCGAACGGTTAAAATTATTTTTATTTCTCTCAATTTTGATCGATTCTCTAATTAGTCTTGGCCAGTAGTAACTATATTTTGGGCAGACCTACCTTCAACGTTACTAAAAGTACTCTTTTTGCCAAGACACCTGTGCGTTTATATAATGTTTAACTGTATACACCACCACACACCCTAATCGCTTACAATGCCGATTTGTTTCCTGGACAAGATTTGGTCTCGGGAGACGGGAGTGAAACTCACGCGAGGGCTCGGGTGGCGGTGAGTTTCACGCCGCTGTGACGGTTGTGACCCCGTGACAGGCGGCTCATGCGGGAGCAGGCCCAGCTGGTGGTGGAGGAGAACAAGGTGCTGCTCGACCAGCTCGGCCTGCAGCGGAGAGCCCACGGGGAGGCGTGCGAGGACATGCGCCGCAAGCACGAGAGCGCAAGTAAACGCAGCAAGCCCCTTGTCCGTCAACGGGGGGCGGCGGGGGGGGGGGGTTACGTTCTTGCAGATTGCCGCAATCGGCAAATCCGCGATCCGCAAACTCAAAGGGGAATGGGATGATGAGGGTTTGGTTCATGGTTCGTAATACGACGCCCCACCCCCCTCCTTTTGTCTTATGTTACCCTACATCAACCAAAACATTAAACGGGAAGTATTTTGAATGTAAAATATGATTGATATTTTCCCGCGTAAATGCATAGAATTTAAAACATTCATGTAGCGTACAATACTGTACACATGAGACCTCCATCATCACCTCTCACGATCCTGCGATGTAATATTTCACCCAGCACCTGCACATCAACTCATCTTATTTTTCAATCTCCTTCGCTGACGCTTTCTCCGACGCCTACCATTCCTCGGCTGCCACTCTATCAAGCCTTGCACGCGTTTTCTGGTTGCCATGTTAAACCCCAGCTCTGCGATCCATGCAGTGATACAGACCTTCCTGTCGTGACGAACTGCTGTGCTTGCGCGATCTCCAGTGGGCGAGATGACGCGGCTCTTGGTGGCCAAGCAGGACGAGAGGGATGCGCTGGAGCAGGATCTGGCGAGCGAGCGGCGCTTGCGGGCCCAGCTCACCGAGCGACTCGCCGGCCGCGTCAGCAAGGAGGAGCACGAGCACCTGGTCGCCTCCCTCACGCGGTACGCGGCGGGCGCCAGGAGGGGGCGGACAGCGGGACAGACCGACGGGGGCGTAGGCAGCGCCGTCTGTACCTGCGTGCATCGCACGTCGACAATTACCGATGCCGCACCTCCCATCTTACAAGCGTGCGCGGAGCCCTGCGGTGGTCGCGTCGCGCGGACACCACGTGACTACACAACTAGGGTCGAGCTGTCCCACTGGTGGGCTCGAGTGAGCTGCGGTTGCAATTTGTTACAGAGAGCTCAAGGAGGAGGTGGACCGGCACATGGCTGACGAGCAGCTGCTGAAGAAGCGGCTCGTGGAGGCTCAGGCTGAGGCGCGCAGACAGACGCTGGACAATGCCGAGCTGTCTGCCGACAATAAAGAGCTGATCAATGACCTCAACCTGATCAAGAAGAACTTGAGGTGTGACGGCTCTGTGACCTTGCATAGGGGGCTAATGTGCAGTACATGCCAGTGTGCAATACATGTATTGCCGAGAATAGAGATGAAGTCCTAAGTGGGATCGACATCAGTTGGCACAAATTTGCAGAAGTGGTTAAAAGGGGGAAGCTGACCCTGCTAAGGGTATGGAGCCTCAAAGGTTGGAGGAAGAAACCACTTCTTGTGAGTGGCTGGTTGATGTGCCTTCTGCACATTCACCACGTAAACACCTGGTGAGTATGAAGAAATCTGATAATCCATGGACTTTAGCGTCATTATTTTACAGAGTATTTAAATTCAAACATCTTGTGTATTATAATTGGCCCTTGTCCCGGCAACCCGGTTATGACAACACTCTCGTGCAGGTTGAAACCCACAATGGTCATACCACCACATTCACCCTATCCCTGCCTTAACTGTATTTGTCCCCAACAATAAACATAACTGTAACCCTTTCTCCATATATCTGTCTATCCGTCTCCAACACTTGCGGTGTGCAGGTCTGTGCAGCAGACGGCGAACACGCTGACTCGGCAAGTGGAGGAAGTGCGTGACGTAGATGAGACAGCCACCCTGCACCTCTCTGCCATGGTTCGTGTGGCCAAGAATGCCCGGAGAGAAAAATCCAAAGTCAAGCGCTTGGTAAGTCGTGAGTTGCATGTTTTTACTCTCGCGCGCTCACGATCCCTCAAAAGTCTCACTCTTTATAATGTACCGGGTTTTTTTTATTCACACGTTCGCTGAGCATGGGCCCAAAGACCCGAAATGTCAAGTAGCCAGCAACAAACAGCATTGTCAAATTCGTACTAAATATGTGTCAACACATGTCCTGAATTGAGCAAGGTTAAGAAAGGTTGGGAAATTTGAGCTTGGGATTGAACTCGGATACAAGTCCTGGCAGACGGTGGAGTGGGGTACCTAATTGGTCTGGGTTCACGTCCCCTTCTCATCATACTGGACATCTGTGAAAAAGAGCTTCATAGCTCATCGGATTCCTCGAGTCTAAATAAAGATTCAGGTCTGATTCTGATGAACCACAATATTTTAATTTGTATCATCGTAGTTCAGTATGTTATATTGAATGTCCTCGTCGTCATGGTCAACACCTTCACTGACGACACTTATCACTCAGCGTGAGTCTCACTTCTACCCTACACCAGATCCTCACCCACACCCGAGCAATCCCTTTGCTCTCTCGGCAGGCAAAGACCATCGCTGATGAATACCGATTGACGCTGAAGGAATTGATCAAGAGGAGCAGCGATGACGGTGAACAGCCAGAGAAGTTACAGGTGAGAGCCGGCCCACACTCGCTCACTGCCGCTTAAAATCACCGCTTTTCATGTGTGTTGATTAACATCCCTGAGCACAGATTACCGTGCTGTGGGTACTACGGCCACGGTTAAGTCGATCCCTCGGGGGGGAAATGTCGCCGCGTGGGTTTCACCAATCAAGAAATTTGCAAGTAATTAAAAAAAAAAATTATTGGCTCATATTTTGTGTATTAAAATATATAGCCTTTTGGAACAAAAAGCTTCATAGGGTTTTTATTTTTATTTTACGGAGAGTAGAGTAATGAAACAGGGTAACCTGAGTGATTCTCAGCTAACATCAGTTACAAGTGATATCTGATCTGGTCCTGGGTCCCCCTTCACCGACAGCATGATGAAGTATGGTCAAACAACCTCCATAACTGATACAGCATGGGGAGGTCTTCATCTAACTGTGGTTTAACAAAGGACTTAAAAAATTTTTAACATTGTGGTATATATGTAGGGATGTTAGAGAGAGGGCCGTTATGTATGGCAGTCTATGGGAAAGAAACACAGTGGGCGGGGCTACGTGTGTGCACAGGGAGATGCCCTCTGCGACGTCCGAGCCAGACACCCTGGGGGGGGGCTGGTTTGGCGTTATGATCCCCCGGGGCCCCACCCCTCAAGGAGGGTTGGGTATAAAAGGGGACGTTATATGGGCTCGGGAGCAGTTATGTTATAGTTAACTAAGAAGACTGAAGACGTCTTAGATAGAGCCCTGGACTCCCTCGTTCGATGTCCTTGTCAGGGCCGAACAGGACCGAGCCAGCGGCGTGGTCCCGAAGCCAGAGCCGGTGCTCTTCTAAGAGCTGGTCTGGGACTCCGGGTACCGGCCCGACTTACCAGTGTCGGGCCAAGTAGCCTCCCCTAGCCCAGTAGTGGAGGACTGTGAGGTAGGCTAGGACTTAGCCCGGAAGTGTATTCTTAGCTAGTCGGGTGAGGGGGCCGATACCCCCTCCAGTGCTGTATGTCACATACGAGTTGTGTTGAATAAATATCCGTGTGCCTCCACCTCGGCGTCAAGTGTCTTCACCGGTACTTCAACTGGTGTCAGAAGTAAAACTCGAACATGGACACGCGGAAGACAGCGCGGCCCAAAGTACCGAAAGAGGAAGATACTGCCGAGATCGTCTAGCCCGAGACGGCTACACAAGCCATGGTGCAGCCGGGGCCTGATGTCTCCTTACCGGGGCATCTGAGTGAGGAAGGACCACGGCCGGACGCGTTGCGGCTGGCTCACGGGAGGCTGGCGGGGCTGCTGTGTGCCGCTGCCGCCGCGCTGGAGACCATCGCGCGGCTGGGGGCCGGTGGTTCAACACGGGCTGAGGCGGGCCGGCGACCAGGGCGCCTTCCCGCCATTTCGGAGCGGCCCGAGTTTGAATCTCCCGCCATCGACGCTGCAGCTGTTCGGGGCGTGGCCAGCCTACACATCCACTCCGGCATCGCCGTCGCTGAGGCTGCGACGTCATCACCACCGCGACGGGCGATCCCATCGGCCGCTCGCATCGACGCACAGCCGAGTGGAGGTGACATCTGCCCGCAGGAATCTACAACAACCGCTGCACTCCATCAGAGGCTGCGGGCCCGGGCTGCTCGCCATCGACGGCGAGTTGGAACAACGTCGCCCGTCAACTCGACCAGCTGCTGGTGGCAAGGGAGTGGCCGGGTGTTGGTGAGTGATGGCGAAATTGGCTGTGGCGTTCGCGCCGTTTCGGCGGTGTCGGCGTTCCCGCCATTTGCACCATGCCGGCGTTTCACGCCACTTCAACGTGCCGGCGTTCCCGCCTTTTGCGCCTTGTGTGCTTTGCGCCTTGTGTGCCGGCCTTGTGGGCCTTGTGTGCCGGCCTGGCGGCGTACCACTGCAGCCCTGTGATTACGGGCCTCCCTCCCCCCATTGAAGTAAGAAGAGAGGGGGAGGGCATCGGTGGTGAGAGCGAGAGGGGTCCGTGATTGAAGAGAGGCTTCCGACTATGGAGACACTGCTGGGAGGGACTTTTTCACCTTGACTCTCCGGTTTTGTGTTCCTCGCGGACGGTTTTTCCCTCTGTTCTTTTTGCATTTTGGCTTGTGCGAGTGTTATTTGGTTAATGTTGAAGGGGATTTTGAAATTACAGGTTCGGGTTGTTTCAAACCCACTGGTTGGTTCCTGTCCGTTGTTGCACAGAGGGTGTCTTTTGTGCGGGAATGCTCCTCGTGTTCTACATGGATCGGGGGTGCGTTTCCGTTAATTGCGTTGCTCTCTCCACTCGGTTGGTACAGCTGCATTGCTGCAATGCGAGTCTCGGAGATATGGTGTACGGATGCGGGAAGTGAGGTGTATGTGTTGTGATGGTAGGATGTCTTTTGTGCGGGAATGCTCCTCGTGTTCTACATGGATCGGGGGTGCGTTTCCGTTAATTGCGTTGCTCTTTCCACTCGGTTGGTACAGCTGCATTGCTGCAATGCGAGTCTCGGAGATGAGGGGTACGGATACGGGATGTGAGGTGTATGTGTTGTGATGGTGTTAAATTGCGATGGTGACATGCTGCCAGGGATTTGGAATTGTGGTGCTGGCTGTCACTTATCTTGGGGCGCAGATCCTGACCAGGATGGCCCTGTGAGTGTTGCGTGTTTAACATGAGCGTTGTGGTCCCGTCATGCAATGGCTGACGGCTTGACCTGACAGCCCGGAGATTAAAACACTCCGTGGTATGTCTAGCCTTGTGGGCTGTGCGCTCACATGGCTCAGGGAGGGTGGTCCCGTCATGCTATGGCTGACGGCTTGACCTGACAGCCCGGAGATTAAAACACTCCGTGGTATGTCTAGCCTAGTGGGCTGTGTGCTCACGTGGCTCAGGGAGTGTGGTCCCGTCATGCTGTGTCTGACGGCTTGACCTGACAGCCCGGAGATTAAAACACTCCGTGGTATGTCTAGCCTAGTGGGCTGTGTGCTCACGTGGCTCAGGGAGTGTGGTCCCGTCATGCTATGGCTGACGGCTCGACCTGACAGCCCGGAGATTAAAACACTCCGTGGTATGTCTAGCCTAGTGGGCTGTGTGCTCACGTGGCTCAGGGAGTGTGGTCCCGTCATGCTGTGTCTGACGGCTTGACCTGACAGCCCCGGAGATTAAAACACTCCGTGGTATGTCTAGCCTTGTGGGCTGTGCGCTCACATGGCTCAGGGAGGGTGGTCCCGTCATGCTATGGCTGACGGCTTGACCTGACGGCTCGGAGGTTGAGACCCTCTGAGGCGCGTTGAAACAGTGAGCTAGAGATTCGTAAAGTTCGAGTGGGTTAGCCAGTTTTCATGTATATAGGTTGTGTTCATTGTGTGTTGTGTGTATGGTGGGTTTCCTGCAAATTGTATATAGCTTGTTTTTTTTACGGAATTCGTATTTATCAAAGGGGGGGTGCGTCGGGTTGTTTTCTCTTCTTGCTGTTGCATTTTTTTTGTGTTCTTGTTGCCGTTCTTGTTATTGTTGAAAATTAGTGAGGCACACGCGCGGTTACGGTAAAAATTCATTTTTATTGTCATTCTGTATGTTGGCAGCCGGGACGGCTGCGAGCTATGTAGGGGGGAGTGATGTAGGGATGTTAGAGAGAGGGCCGTTATGTATGGCAGTCTATGGGAAAGAAACACAGTGGGCGGGGCTACGTGTGTGCACAGGGAGATGCCCTCTGCGACGTCCGAGCCAGACACCCTGGGGGGGGGCTGGTTTGGCGTTATGATCCCCCGGGGCCCCACCCCTCAAGGAGGGTTGGGTATAAAAGGGGACGTTATATGGGCTCGGGAGCAGTTATGTTATAGTTAACTAAGAAGACTGAAGACGTCTTAGATAGAGCCCTGGACTCCCTCGTTCGATGTCCTTGTCAGGGCCGAACAGGACCGAGCCAGCGGCGTGGTCCCGAAGCCAGAGCCGGTGCTCTTCTAAGAGCTGGTCTGGGACTCCGGGTACCGGCCCGACTTACCAGTGTCGGGCCAAGTAGCCTCCCCTAGCCCAGTAGTGGAGGACTGTGAGGTAGGCTAGGACTTAGCCAGGAAGTGTATCCTTAGCTAGTCGGGTGAGGGGGCCGATACCCCCTCCAGTGCTGTATGTCACATACGAGTTGTGTTGAATAAATATCCGTGTGCCTCCACCTCGGCGTCAAGTGTCTTCACCGGTACTTCATATACATGCGATTTGAAACATTGATGTGTGCTTGCATGTAAATGATTCGTATCCAAATTATATTCTGCATACTCATCAATGAACTGTGAAGAACATTAAAGTAAAGCAACAAAATGTATTTGCTGCATTCCCTTCGCTTTGAAGATGGAAATTACTTTCGCTCTAAAGGTAGTGTGCGCCCACAACCATGATCACACATTTCGTAGTTTCTCAGCACACACGACAACCAGCGGGGGACCACTGAAAATGTCAGCAATGTGTGACAGAGCGCACACGGACCTACACAATAATGATTCCTCTATTACCACTGGGTCGAGTTTAACCGTGCCTTTGGCATCAAGCAGCATCACGGACACCGAACACATCTTGTGTTCGGCAAAGATTATTTTAACTTTAGATTTGAAGCTTTCGTGACTGCAAGGATTCATACTCTTTGGTTTTTCGGTAAAGTCATGTAGGTAAAAGTAAAAAAAATGAAAACAACTAATTTAAATCACGACGTTTCGCTGTGACGAGGAATTATAACGACTATATGTTCCTCGTCACAGCCATCTCTTAGACACACTTAAGCGGTTGTGCTTTCGCTACGTTGTCCCCACCTGAAGAAGGATTTGTGCCCGAAACGTCGTGATTTAATTTAGTTGTTTTCATTCATTTTATTTTTTACCTACGTGACTTTACCGAAAAACCAAAGATTATTTTAACCTTATATTTTCGGCCGTTGTACACCTGTACGGTCACGCTGTGTTTTAACCCCTTGCTTACAGTGGTGGTTTCTCTTTAAGTTCCAGGGGTGACCTGCTCATTATAAAGATTATAAACTGTAAACACTCCCCCTCCTCCCCCGTGGGCTTCTGTGCCTCAGCCATATATTTGCCAACCAGACACCTACTGCATGTTATGAATGGTGAATTTATGGACAAACAACGTCATGCACAGAGGGAGATTTACGACTGCAACATAGTGTCTGTTGAATATCAGAATCACACTATAACGTTAGGCTGGGAAACTCAGCTTCCAATACCAAATCAGAGCACCGAGCAAGCACTGCAGTGTTTCTGAGTTCAATGCAGGGCATCCACCCAATATTAAACCGGATTCTCACGTACGATATGAGTAGATTGGCTCAGCCAAATCATCAATAACTGCATGCTTGTGCAGTGATTTTAGAAGTATTTCGGGAGCTTGTGCTTATCTCCGCTGTGTGGTGTTGCCTTCTGGGGTCTGTTCTCTGATACAAGGCAATGCACTTCTTACTGCAAGAGCTCTGAAATGGAGATGTCTTGATCTCACGATATGACACCCATAGCACAATTGGCATATAATGTGGTGGGGAAAAAAGTAAAAAGGCAATTGTTACAAAACTTGCAATGTGTCTGTTTTTGTGCAGGACTCCAATAAGCAGATGTTGGTCAGCATGGAGAAGCTCTCCCAGAGTCTGAAGCAGCAGGAGGGGGACACGGCAGAGAAGCGGCTGATGTATGAACAGAAGATCCGCAAGCTGCAGTTTCTGCTGCAGCAGAGGCAATGTGCCCTGGATGAGGTCACGGCCCAAGAACGGTATGGACACCCTCCTGAGAAAGAGCCTCGCCATCCACAGAGGCTTTCCTGTTTATTTGTTAGACGGACAGTCCCATTTAGCCAGTTACCCAGCTATTTTAGCATGAGAGATCCACAGTGCAGTAGCAAAGAACAAGAACAAACAACGTCAGAGCGATGTGTATGGTGAAACAGGCAACAGTGGGACAGAACGCATCTAACTCAAACCAAAGTACCTCCTCCTTGCTCATATGAGCAGGGGGTAGAAGTCATCGCCGTTGGCAGCTAGGAGCAAGTGGAAGTTGAACATTCCAGCGGCAGGTGGTGGTTGCGGTGCTGGGCTGAATTACAACGAACAATCGCAATGCCTCTTGTCTAAGACTGCCTCAGTGAGTCCGGAGATCTGTTTTTCCATGATTATTTGCCTTGATTAAACCCAGCATTGCGTAGGGGTGACAATAACGTTAGAAGCCGAAATCCAACTTGCTGCGCTGCTATATTCTGCCCATCTCACTGCCGAGCGTGTTTTTTAGTTTCACGGCGCATGATTAAATATGCGTCACCCACCAACCCCTTGTCCAAAGCGCTGAAGTACAGGTGTGTGCGCTGCCACAGGTGGTACTTGTGTAATGGGTTCAATTTAGGCGCACACACTTCTTGGGAGGCAACACTCATTTATTAATTAACACAACGTTTACTCAACAGTTACTCTTACTCTACACATAGGGTGGTGACCACCGACCTACACTAGCTAACACACAATTGTATTTTAGCCGCTCCAGCGTGACCCAGCCAGGTGGCTGCTGGCAGTCCGCTCACTGTAGGTCTTCTCTTCTGGCATCTTCACGAGGTGTCTTCATTCTTCTCAGGAACAGCCCTGCTCTGCCTTCACACCACGCTTATATCTCGTCTCTCTGGCGTGGCCGGCTCCGCCCAGGCCACGCCTCCCTTCCCAGGCCACGCCTCACTTCCCAGGCCACGCCTCACTTCCCCCACCTCTGGGAAGGTCCGGATCCCTCCAGCACGTGACCCCCCAGGCACCCCCTTGGGGCCCCCAGCCCTCGTACGGGCCAACACAGTAGTGACCGTTCTGTCACTACATCACCCCCCCCTGTATAAACACACAGCCGTCCCCGGCTGTAACACAACTGTGAACATCGAAAAGGTGTGCCTCCGAACCAGCAACATCAATAAATGACCGGCGACCGATAAGAAATACAATCACGTAATATATACAGAATCGACGAGGGTAAAAGGGAACCGCATAGAAAACGGGGAATTAACAACAAATATACATGAAAACCGGCTAACCCACTTACGCTCCATCACAGCCCCCCCACCGTTAGAATCACGCATGCAATGACAGTCACCCGTTAGCACCCCCCCGCCTTTCCGACGTGGCGTCACAACCACTAGCACGCGTCGGCCATATCGGGGGGGGAATTTCCATGTTACCACCCCACCGCCTTTCCGACGTGGCGTCACAACCAGTAGCACGCGTCGGCCATATCGGGGGGGGATTTCCTTGTTACCACCCCACCGCCTTACCGCGCGGCGTCGCAACCAGTAGCACACGTAGGCCATATCGGTGGAATTTTAACCGAGTCTCTCTCCAAGACTCGCATCGCAGCATATAGCTGTACCGACCGAGCTGAGACGACCCAGTCTCTCTCCCAGACTCGCATCGCAGCATATAGCTGTACCGACCGAGCTGAGACGACCCATCGTTCACTCACTGCACAACATGCACCCTAACAACTGAGGGAAACAGTCTCAACGTAACAGGCCAACTCCACCCGAACCTTACGAATCTCCAGCCCACTGTTTCAACGCGCCTCAGAGGGTCTCAACCTCCGAGCCGTCAGGTCAAGCTGTCAGCCATAGCATGACGGGACCACCCTCCCTGAGCCATGTGAGCGCACAGCCCACAAGGCTAGACAAGCCACAGAGTGTCTCGCTCTCCGGGCTGTCAGGTCAAGCCGTCAGCCATTGCATGACGGGACCACACACTCCGAGCCACGTGAGCACACAGCCCACTAGGCTAGACATACCAAGGAGTGTTTCAATCTCCGGGCTGTCAGGTCAAGCCGTCAGCCATTGCATGACGGGACCACAACGTTCATGTTAGACACGCAACACTCACTGGGCCATCCTGGTCAGGATCTGCGCCCCAAGATAAGTGACAGCCAGCACCACAATTCCAAATCCCTGGCAGCATGTCACCATCGCAATTTAACACCATCACAACACATACAATTTGAATTATGATCCCCCACAGAACTGATCCAATGCCGAACAGGTACGCACAATTTGTGACGATCCCGAATATTCAATGGTCACAACAATACACCTCACATGCCGTATCCGTACACATCATCTCCGAGACTCGCATTGCAGCAATGCAGCTGTACCAACCGAGTGGAGAGAGCAACGCAATTTGACGGCAATTAACGGAAACGCACCCCCGATCCATGTAGAACACAAGGAGCATTCCCGCACAAAAAACATCATCTGTGCAACAACGGACAGGAACCAACCAGTGAGTTTGAAACAAACCGAACCTGTAATTTCAAAATCCCCTTCAACATTAACCATGGGACTCAGGGCATTCGAATTAAAAAAAACTATACACAAACGCCAAGAATCGCCGAATTGATTAATACAGCATATGCAGTATACGAAGTTCGTACAGTCAATCATTTGGCGCAATGTTCCATCCAGTCCCCACATGGCAACACACACAATCAATACTCCAGACAATCCGTACATAGTAAATAATCACCAGCAAGTACCCAACAGTCCATACACTGTTAACAATTTCAAGCAAAGCTCCATACGGTCTGTACATTGGCAACAATGACGATCAAAGTTTCTGACAGTTACAAGTGACAATCACGAGCGAAACTCCATACAGTATACACAATAACAATGGCGATTTCGCAACACAACGATGTAACAACACGAGTCATTAACACGGCAACATACAGGATATCAACGGAGCTCGGGACACCAACAACGAATTAATCATTAACTACCCCCAGAAGATACCGATCTCGACGCCGTAATTAACAACAAACACTGATCGCCGCGTCAATTTCTCACGCACACAACCGGACGAACACGTTCCGCAACCCAGCGAGTAAAAAAAAAACACCCGCGATCGCAACCCGGCACACGCAAGATGGGTGAAGTTATTATTATTATTTTTATTGGGGCCGGGTGCTTGTCAAGTCACAACTCGCCTGGCAAACTGTGAATAGCGGAGGGCGGCAAGGTGGAGCACTGGATTGGCCCGAAGAATCTTTGATGGTGAACACGGCCTGCTCTTGCGAACCCATCCACCTCTCGCGCTCGAGCAGAAGGCTGGAACTCCCCCTCCGCAGGCGTTGATGTCGGCGGGAGCGGCATTTCGGCAGCAGGAGCGGTGTTTTGGCGGGAACAGCGCCCCGACCAGCCGCCGAAATGGCGGGAACGGCGTTTTGGCGGGAACAGCGCACCGACCAGCCGCCGAAATGGCGGGAACGGCGTTTTGGCGGGAACAGCGCCCCGACCAGCCGCCGAAATGGCGGGAACGGCATTTTGGCGGGAACAGCGCACCGACCAGCCGCCGAAATGGCGGGAACGGCGTTTTGGCGGGAACCGCGCCCCGACCAGCCGCCGAAATGGCGGGAACGGCGTTTTGGCGGGAACCGCGCCCCGACCAGCCGCCGAAATGGCGGGCCCACCGCGTGGCCCGCATGCCCGGGCCTCCCCCGCCAGTCACCGCAGCGACGATGGTGTCCTCTCGCCGCGGCTCCGTCGCTCCGTTCCCGATGGCGGCGAAGCAGCAGTGCGATGCAAGTCCCGCCGCTCCGCGTGCAGCGCCATCTCTCTCTCTCTCTGTCACCGGGGCTGCCATCCCCGGGGCTGTCCGAAGGACGGTCGTCACACCATCCCCGTCGTACGAAGACGTCCAGATGAGTTTTGTATTTGTTTTTCGTGTGCCCATTTTACTTCCCTAGGATAACACCTAGCAATATTTATTTTTCCACAACTTCTGACACCAAATGTAATGGGTTCAATTTAGGCGCACACACTTCTTGGGAGGCAACACTCATTTATTAATTAACACAACGTTTACTCAACAGTTACTCTTACTCTACACATAGGGTGGTGACCACCGACCTACACTAGCTAACACACAATTGTATTTTAGCCGCTCCAGCGTGACCCAGCCAGGTGGCTGCTGGCAGTCCGCTCACTGTAGGTCTTCTCTTCTGGCATCTTCACGAGGTGTCTTCATTCTTCTCAGGAACAGCCCTGCTCTGCCTTCACACCACGCTTATATCTCGTCTCTCTGGCGTGGCCGGCTCCGCCCAGGCCACGCCTCCCTTCCCAGGCCACGCCTCACTTCCCAGGCCACGCCTCACTTCCCCCACCTCTGGGAAGGTCCGGATCCCTCCAGCACGTGACCCCCCAGGCACCCCCTTGGGGCCCCCAGCCCTCGTACGGGCCAACACAGTAGTGACCGTTCTGTCACTACACTTGCTTTATTCCAGCCACTGTGCTGATGTCCTCGGGTAGACTTGGCCTTCATTGAGCTCCCAGTGATGGCCGTATGTGTTGTACTCCACATTTAAAACAAGTCTCATGGAGATCCATCATTCATGTAAACATTATGTTTAGTGGTGCATTCAGAAATAAATGCTTATAACAAAGCCCTCCATAAAAAATATTGTGTGACATTCAATTGTTAAAAATCTTAAGTAGTGTTTGTTCTGCATTAAAAAAAGTCCATAAAATGTGTTTCTAATTAGTAGCGAATGCCATTGGGGTGTCCAATTGAGAGCCGTGCACATAAATGCATAAGTTGCTTCTCAAAGGTACCATCTCACTTCCTTCAAACGTGCATGTGTGCCACTGCATAGCCCTCAAAACTCATTGGCTTGAGTAAACTGCATGGGAAACATCAGAATGGAGTAACAGGGCCAAACAAAATCGGAATGAAGCAAATTTAACTCAGACAAATCTCCTTGCGTAACGGTTGGCTTGCCTTCCATTGCAGACAGCTCAAAACCGACCTGGATGTCGTCTTCAAGATCAAGACCTGGGAGGATGCCCACCTCCAGAGCATTCTGTGGGACACTCTGGGCAAGGAGACGTATGGTGACTCGCCATCACCCACACAGCGGAGCTAAGCACGAGCTCCGTGAGAACGCTCAAGAGTCAAGAGGCCATCGTCGCCGTTGCCACTGATGTCACCACACTTCATCTTTGCTTCTTTCCTTCTGCATCGTCGACCTCTGACCTGTGACACTGTGGCAGCGTCTCACAATCTTCTGTTTCATCACTGGCCTCAGTGCATCCATTTGGTTACCTGAGCTCTTTCCTGCACTTTTACCCCAAATTTTACTCTTCACACAGTGCTTTGCTGTCATCTCCTATTCTGAACTTCCATGGTACTTATCCTATCCTAACAGAATATATTAAGCATCCTCTCCACATGTACCGATAAATTAAGTCCAACATTTATTTTCTAGTTACTTTGCTAAAGTCCTGCTGTTTAACCCATACGATAACATCGACATCACTCACCCCTTACCTTGAACATTTGCCTCAATGTAAAATGTTAAATATTGAATGTACTAAGTTGGTTTGTGTCGTAAATCAAAATATTGGTGATGACAAACTTGCCAATTAAATTATGTAGTTGCATGCGTTTTATTTTTAAATGGCTTTCTCAGTGGGGTTGCAGCATTCAAGGACCAATGAGTCTGCCGTTCAACACCCGTTATTGCCATGTTACACTCAACGACAGATTGGTAACCAAGCGATGCTCCTTTTCATTACGTGTTGGGTGCTACAGCACAACAACTGGGCTGTTTCAAAAATATCAGAGATTTTATTCTAAAGTAAACTAAAAACTAAACTATTTTTATTTGACCAGATGAGGCTCATAATTCGGGACAAATTATGGATCAGGGTTCATGTTAGGACACCGCTTTTTCATCTTCTTGAGAAGACAGACTCTGTCTTCTCGACAGACCTGTTCTTCACCTGAGGACGGCTGCTTGCGTTGTGGCCGAAACGTCGTGAGAATTATTTTATTATGTTTTATTTTTATTATTTTATTATTTCCATTCTACGTGACTTTACCGAAAGAACCAAGAAGATGAATCCCTGCAGTCACGAAAGCTTTAAATCGAAAAGACACCGCTTTTGTTTAGAAAGTTAGCCATTGTGAAGAGTTTTATTAAATTGGTCTAGGTTACAATTTTAATTTAGATATGTTGCTGAATGATATACAAGGTGTTTCAAACAGATGGCCACAATTTCAAAACAGAATATTTAACGATGGCAACATGTTACAATTACACAAAAAGTTACACACGGTTTAATGAGTTATTTAGTTTTCCTAACCATTTTATAATTGCTCTATGTGCCCTCCACCTGCTGTACGGACAACATAGAGATGATAGTTGAATTCATTCCAAACACCTTTCAAAGTGGCTTCTTCCACTGAAGTCAGTGCTGCCGTGATTCTGTTTTTGAGGTCATCCAGATTAGTTGCTAATGGTGGCACAAAAAACACGGTCTTTTGTGCCACTATGCTCTTTGACATTGGCGGATCAATGCCAAAACGTCGTTAAAACGCATGTTGCACCGCAATTACGGATTCAGTCTTGCTGAACTGCAGAACGCAAAACGCCCCTTGTGTGTTGCGGGGTCGACATCCTGCGAATGACTGAGGCTAGGGGCTGTTTGTGCGCTGGGAGAGGCATCTAGCAGTAATAATTTGAAACTATATGCCCCGCCCTCTCTATGCCCCGCCCTTTCAAGTGGTAAGAGTTTCATTCATGGGCGGTTCGTGGTTGCAGAGATATAGCGATTTAAAATCGGGGCAAATATTTTTTAATCACCTTGTATATCTCTAAATCTAGGTCGATAAGTGTACTCGTTTATCTGAGGACTACTTCCGTGCGTGACCTAAAAAGGTCACACAAGACAACAAGGTTACCTGACCCACAGATTAATACAAATATCTTCAACAGAAACACATTAAACTGAATTGTATTTGTGATCATTTATCATTGAAAATGAATATGCTTGAATTGCACAACAATCAAAGAAAGCTGATTATCAATACTGATTAATGCTTATATATTTATGCCAAACACATTTATTGAATACCTCGCATTTTGAAATGTAAAACATCAAATTGAAGGTGAAAAATAAAGTAGATTGTTACGTGCGACATTGTTTGAAATTTTACAATAAGTTTATATATTATTGCAATCAAAAATGGTTTTAATTGCAAATGAAATTGAGTAAAGTTGTTTATTTTATTCATTAGACGTTAAAGATGTGCGTGTAATGTGATGCACACTATGCTATGCCAATGGAATCTGGTGATTTTGCACCGGTGATTGAGAGTGAATTCATGATCGTGTTTGTCTTTTTGCTTCACAAAATTGTTGATGTTAACTGTCATAATTGCGAATCATGTTGTATGTGTCGCAGTGCTTACACATATTTACAACCTGGCGCTTGTGGTTACTAGTGACTGTTGATGTTGTTAAATGCATTGTTTCTGCCAGGAATAACTACCCATGGATATCCATGCCCCCAGTATGGTGGCCACCCTTTCAGATTTGACCCGGACAGCCCAGGAATTGGCATCTTTGTTCGGATGACTGGAATTGATTTGTACCGAGATCTGGTGCCGGTATTGCGGTGAACTTTATTGTAGTAAATTTTACAGTTTTGAAAGACCAAGGCTGACTGAGAAATAACACCCAGCATCACTTTAAACGGCTGTAGTCTCTTCATTAAGCTTATTTTGGTTTAGAAAACTCCAGCCACGTTTTCACTCACATGTGTATAGTAACTTTCATCCATGTTACACCAGGTGGTGCTGTTTTTATATCACTGAACTCGCAATCGGGTGCTTTCAATGTTAAATCTGGCGTGGTCGACTGAACCACTGTTCATGAAACTGGCTTCCATCATAGGAATGTGGAATTTCCACTACTGGCACAATTTCATCATGGAGATGAATACGGTCCCACACTCATATGAGCATGGAGGTATTCTTACTTGAATGATAGGGGAAAAATTACAGTAAAAGTAACTGCTTTTATCCGGAGCCAATCTATAAGGCCCCCCAGGAAACCTGGCTTTTGGAAGTGTGAATAGAATTGCTGATAATGATGTTGCTCACATTAAACCCATACATTAATGCTCACAAAGAGCTTACACTTGACTTGGAACAAAATCAAGTGGCAGCCGTCTTTACCCCACACTTGGCTCCACTCGAGTGTTCTCTCCTATGTGTGTCACTTTGGCTTGCGCTTCCTTGACACCCTCCAACTCAATAATAATTTGTAAAAAAAAATGGAATTTCGCTGATGACTCCCCTCTGTGAGTTTTCACTGGTGAAACATTCCTTAGGCCCTTTGTGAAATGTTTGCTCTTGGGTCCCACAATTACCTGTACACCGGCCTGAATTGAGGTATTGTGTGAAGTGAAATAAATCGACTGGCCATTACACATTCATGGCAATCAGGTGCTGCCTGTATTGGGCAGCACATAAAGTAGGTATCAAACTAGTCTGTGTGGAGTTTGCGTGCCCTCGTATGCACGGGGTTTCTCCATTATGGTATACATTCATAATACTGAGACATAAAGACTCGGTGATGCTTTCTTTGTGTATATCCCTGGCTGCCTGATGTGAGTTTGAAGCTTCCTTAATAAAAAAACTAATATAAAATCATTAATTTATAGGCCACTAGCGGAAGTACCCGGCTTTGCCCGGGTGAAAAATATCTTTCTTAAAAACCTTACATATATATACACAGATACTAAGGTATTGTCAAAGCCCGGTGGGCTGTTTGTACATTTTTCCACCAACAAATATATAAGAGGCTTTCACAAGTCCAAAAAGTTGTAGAAAGTGTGGGGTAAATAGTTGATGTCAAAATGTTTCCGAAAATTGTGGTCTCCCCCCCCCCTCAAAAAATATCTTTACCCCTCGTAGGTATATATACTAACAACACCTTACATACAACAGAGGAAGTGGTATCTATTGACTCTGTAGTAGTATCTACTGACTGTACCGTAGTATCTACTGAGCCATGTGTAGCTACTGACTGTGTAGTAGTATTTAGTGACTGTAATAACTACTGACCATAGTAGTATTTACTGGGCCTACAGTAGTATCTACCGACTATATACTCGTAACGACTAACTGTATAGTATCTGCTGACTCTATAGTGTATCCACTGACTATAGTAGTAACTACAAAATCTATAGCAGTATCTACTCACTCTATAATAGTATCTACCGACTCTAGTAGCTACTCACCGTAGCAGTATGTACTGACTGTATAGTAGTATATACTGACTGTAGCAGTATTGACTGACTGTAGCGGTATATACTGTTGTATATGTTGGGTATGAAAATTTGTTATGTTGTATGCGTGCGTGGGTGAAATTATTATGTTGTATATGTGGGTTATGAATATTCAGTGGAAATAATAATAATTAAATGAAATTTGGCCAAATGTGTAATTATCCGGAAATATGTTAATTTATGTAATTACGCACATTTTAATTATGCCAATTCGAGAGGTAATCGGATTAATTATGCGAGTGGGTGTAATTATGATAATACAAGTCGTTATGATAACCAGACCCCGCCTCGGTGACGAGGGTGGGTTATCGATCGGAAGAAGGCAATTAATCGTATGCAGTTATGCAGGTGTGGTGTAAGTATGCAAGATTAACTTAGATTAACTCGGCATCGTTGTCTAGGTTCGTCTCATTCTCGCTTTAACATTCCCAGAGTTTATTCGTGGTTATATTTTTAGGTCCCCGGTTCACCCCGTTATCGCTTTAACATTTACTGAGTATGTATTAGTGTGTTTATTAAGGTCACCAAGTTCAAATCTCAACGCAGAAGCAGATCTTATGCATAGATTTCAGGAAACAATCACACAACCACTTCTGTATTGATCAATTTATTACTAATTCAACCTTAACTATGATATAGTATGCGAACTCTCAATCCCGGAACGTCAACACGGCATCAATACAGTATCATCAACGATTGTCTGATTTCACTTTGACAACTGCACATGGATCCCGCATAACGCGATGGTTGTTAGTGAGAGAGAGAGTCGTTAAAACACGCAAATACTATGCTAAGAAAACCTTAATGTTAATGAATGATTATACTCAATCTTGTTCATAACGCGATGGTTGTTAGTGAGAGAGAGAGTCGTTGAAATATGCAAATACTATGCTAAGAAAACCTTAATGTTAATGAATGATTATACTCAATATTGTTCATAACGCGATGGTTGTTAGTGAGAGAGAGTCGTTGAAATATGCAAATACTATGCTAAGAAAACCTTAACGCTAATGAATGATTATACTCAATATTGTTCATAACGCGATGGTTGTTAGTGAGAGAGAGAGTCGTTGAAATATGCAAATACTATGCTAAGAAAACCTTAATGTTAATGAATGATTATACTCAATATTGTTCATAACGCGATGGTTGTTAGTGAGAGAGAGAGTCGTTGAAATATGCAAATACTATGCTAAGAAAACCTTAACGCTAATGAATGATTATACTCAATATTGTTCACGCAGTACCACACTCCTTATTGACCATACGCAACCCTTATCACGTTGTTAGCACCTTGGGTCACGGGACAGTTGAATATTTGTAGAGGATGCGAGTACGTGCGGCGATTATGATTAAAAGATACTTGAAAGATTATCCGGCGATAAAAACACAATCAAAAACAGTTATTATTCTTAAAGGCACCAATCTCAACAGATACATCGGCAGGTTATCTGACAACAGAACGGCCCGGAGTAAGGGCCTGCGACGGTGCTCCTTTTCTGAAGATCGTTATCTTATACCAAGTTTACTAATTGGGGACCAGATCACCTGATTAGGATCCGGTGGGCCACCACTCCCCACGTGAGCGTGGCTCGGCGGAAGGAGGTGCCAAGAATCAGTTCGTATTGATGGATCTGTTGGGAATTTATGCGATTAAGAGTACAGCCCACTAAATATTAAAGATAACAATTAAGAATACTCTTATAAACGACGGAGGGCCATCACTCGGTCTCGTTGTGATGCTTTCCAGCCACGGATGGCTTATGGGTTCGAGTGTTTTGAGTGGTAAGAGTTGTCTTGAATAGTCAGTGTTCGGAGTCGATTCTTTAGGTCAAACAGACGCCTGGTGGTCGTGTGGTGAGGGGGCGGTGCGCGTCATATGTATCAGTCGATCCCGTGGCGAATTGGTTCGGATGGCTGTTGATACGCTGTCGCAGTTCGGAACCCGGTCGGTAGGTGGCGCCCACAACTCGCTCGTAGCGTGCAGCTCTGGGTTGTCGCCGATCCGCGATGCTCACCACTCCGGTGGCAGCAGAGACCCCCGTCGGCAGCAGAGATTGACGAGCTGAAGATGAGTCGAGCCGACCCGCTGGTCGCAGCTCGCTCCTGAGTCGACCCTCCCGGTCGAGCTCGCTCCTGGGTCGACCCGCTGGTCGCCCTCGCTCCTGAGTCGACCCTCTGGTCGCACTCCTGAGTGGACCCGCTGGTCGCACTCCTGAGTGGACCCACTCTGGTCGCACTCGTTCCTGAGTCGACCCTCCCGTCGCACTGATTTCCAATGCTCAGGATCCTTTACTTTATGCCGAAAATTCCCCCTGGATCCCGCCCACAAGGCGGGACTTCTTTCGATTTTTGCTGTGTCAGGATCTGTCCGTAGGCAGGTGTGTCCATGTGTCTGTCCGTATGTCCGTGTGCATCACTGACGGTATATTCGTTGTCACACTCCCTCCATAAACCCACGAGCAAACAATCAGATGTTACAAATTGCCTCGAGGTCGTCTCTCTGTCTGGGTGCAATATTATCTCTTGTCTGGCCTTCTTCATGACCCAAAACACAGACGTTACAAATCGTCTCATAGGCGTCTTTGTTCGTGTTGCACAACCTGGAGGGAGGGGCAACACTCTCTCCGACCCGGCGCACAAAGAAATGGTTAAAAAGTTTTAAGTTAACATTTGTCCCTTACTATTTCACAGTTATGATTCTGTATGTAACCTAAGGTCTGTCGTTTCCCATCGTGGTGCCCGACCCAAGTGTAGGTGTTTCCCCGAGCGTACACACACTCCTATCCCGCGCTGCGGGGATACAAAGACGGCCGGGATCTCCCTTTCTCTCCGACCCTGGGTTTAACATCGTTTTTTTTATTATGTATTTATATTCGACCTGGTGGTGATTCATCCCGTTATCCTGGCTTTTCCATAAGTTTTACTTTTGTCTTTTCATGCATATACTTATTACTATTAATTTATTTCCGATATCTTAGGTTAAGGGGTAAGTTTCTTGATCCTAGGAATTCGTATTCCTTGGTGCCTGGATGGTTATATAAGCGGAATATAGTTTACGGTGAATAGCGTTAACATTGATGTTATGTGCGATATTATGTATTGTGATGTCTTTAACTTAACTTGTTTGTCAGGGCTTTACTGACACGAAGTTGCATTCCATAGCCCGCAGTCTTTGCCCCACCCTATCTCTGCTCGCCGTTGTTGTTGCCTGCCGTTAATTCAAGGCCTCATTAATTTCCGTCCCTCCTGAGTAGGTGAGGGCGGTTGAACCTTGGAGTCAGTTCTGGTTTTTGTCTGCCTGCTTCTTCTTGTGTCCCCTGACCCCGGGAGTTATTATTCTACTTTATGGCCTGTCGAAGCCCCACTCGCTGTTGCTGGGCTGGTGTTGTTCCCGGCTTTTTGCTTACGTTTGCAGTTCGCCGTGCTCTTGATTTCCTTCCCTCTTCAATCTTATATTGACTATTCGCTCCTGTCTGGGTGCGATTCAATTTTGACTTAGGAAGGTTCTGATTGTCATATGCTTCGGGTCGAGTTGTATAGAAAGTATTGAAGTATGGAAATAACATTTCATATTGACTTAATAATGGTGATGGTTCAGTAGGCGTAACTTGTGGCCTGGTTTAATTGGAGTGGGTGTGAATATCGATAACTTTAGCCTACCCTGTTGTTAGGTTCCGACTTTAACGTTACTTTAATAGCAATACAGAATAATTGAGCTTTTTGTCTTAACTAGGCGAACGCGAACTTCTGGTGACCCCCGCAGCCGTGTTATTTAGCTGGGTCTGCCCGCCTTGAGAGATATACAACATTTTTTTTAAATCAGCTCTCCCCTGTCCCTCCAACCTTCTGCTCTGGGAATGTTATTCTTAATTTCAGGTCCAAGGCCTCTTTGGGTTTATCTTTGTTTCCTCAGCTGCAGGAGAACAAGGCGTGCTTCTACCTCCCTTTCTGTGTGCACGTGTTCTAATTAGCTCGGAATCCCTAAACACACAATCAGTGATGATTCCTGGCTTTCTGTGGTTGTGACTTAGACAAAGGCGCCTCTGCTTCCTTTCACTGCCTTTGCCTTGAAGCAAGGTTGCAAATTCTGTCATCCTAGCCCTCCTCTCGTTCATTACTTAACAACACCTGGTGTTTTGCAGTTTGGTGCGCTTTGGTGTGTTTCACTCATTAAAAAAACAAGTAAAAAGATAATATATAAAAATCATCAAATATTATTAATCTCAATTATGGAAGAAGGGTTAGGATACAACATACCGCCCTTTTAAAAATGACCAGTGGTCAAATGGCCACGGGTTATTTTTAAAAAAAATGTATACCCTTCTTCCATCATGAACCATCGATTGTCCTCAAGTTTTGCTGC